GTCATATATAATAGCTTTACCATTTGTTTGTTTGCTTGCTTACTTGCTTGTTTGAGACAGAGTGTCATTTAGCTGAGCCTGGCCTTGAACTGTCCTGACTCTCCTGCCTCCATCTTTCAAGTGCTTGGATTCCAAGTGTGTGCTATCACACCATGACTGACAAGCTTTACAACTTCTAGCACTTAGTATTTCACATGTTTTAATGTTTAAAATGATGAGAATCTCAGTGAATAAGATTGTGGGTGTAATTTGCATTTACCTAATGTTATCAGTCGTTTTCTCATAGAATTAGACTTTTGGATTTCTTCTTTGTCAAGTACTATTAAAGTTTGTCTTTTTTTTTTTTTAAATACTACTAAGCTGCCTGTTGCTTCGTCCCTAATTTGTATTTAGTGTTCATTTATATATCTGGATTTCCATTCCACACTTGAATTTTTCAGTTTTCACATATGTCTTAATGAATGAAAGCTATCAAGTGTAGTTGAATTTTGACTTTTTAAAATATTTTATATCATTTTCTTTTTTTATGTGTATGAGTGTTTTGCCTGCATTTATGTAAGTACACACCATGCATGCATTGCCTGTGCAGCAGCCAGAAGAGGTTGTCAGATCCTCTGGAACTGGAGTTATAGATACTTGTTAGCCACCATGTGGGTGCTGGGAATCAAATCCAGGACTTCTGGAAGAACAAGTGTTTTTAACTGCTGAGCCATCTTTCCAGCCATGAATTTTGACTCTTTGATTAGCGTTTTTTTATATTAAATTCCTGATTCTTTGGTTATAAAGATATTCTATATGTCTAGAAATTTATTGCTTTTCTCTTCATATTTGTTCTCGAGAATTTGACTGGAATTGTTTCTATGCTTAGTTGGAAATAAGAGTCCTAGCTCCTTTTTCCCAGTGCACCTATACTATGTATTAATATTCCATGAGTTCCCACTAATTTTTATTTCCTTCCTTTTACTTCACAGTCCTCAAAATGTGGTGACTTTTTAGTGGGTGTGTCCCTGAAGTCCACAGGTGGCATTTGGGTCAAGATGACTATGAATCTGACCCTAAAAACATCAGTGCTCCCCTCAACCCCGCCCGCACGCTCTGTATGTGTGTTTTTCAGCCCAGTTGCAGGGTTCTTGAGCATGGACTCTGTAGATGTAGATGTGTTGCAATGTCCAAAGGTTAGACATGCATTTCCTAGTTCTCTTTGTCCTGTGATTTGTTAGTTCCTCCACTCCTTTGTAATTTCAGTATCATTTTGGAAGGGAAGCAGTTTTTATTTTACTACATTTAGGTTGAAGATCTTTAAAATATCAGTATTTAGAGCCTCAGATACTGAAAAATCTTTTTAAAAAGTAAATCCAGACATACAGAATAGCCTAACTAGATGTACAGTGCATATATGCAGTGACAGCCAGAAGAAATGGTATGTGAGTGGATGGGCATGTGCTGTCAGGCTGACTAGACTGAAATAATTCATGGTGACCCTTGGTTCATTGGGAGAAATGTCCCATTTGTTAGATAACCTCCTTCAGAGTCAGAAGTGAATTGTAATTAGTATTAAAAAGATAATTCACTCCAAAAGCAGAACTGTGAGTTTGAAACCTACCTGAGTTATGTATATAGCAAGACCCTGGTGAGACAGGGGAGGGAGGAGGAGAGTGAAGAGAGGGGAAGAAAGGGAGAGAAGGGGAAAGCTGGAGAGATGGCTCAGTTGATAAAGTGCCTGCCTCCGTTGTGAGCATGTGTGAGCATGAAGACATGAGTTAGAATCCCTAGCATCCATGTAAATCAAAACCCCCAACACTAGGGAGTAGAGACAGAAGGATCTCTGGAACTCATTGGCTAGTTGTCTTAGCTAAATTGATAAGCTCCAGGTTCAGTGAGAGAGACCCTGTGTCAAAAAATAAGGTGGAGAGTGATAAAGGAAGAAGAGACACTCTACATCAACCTTTGGCCTTCATATTTCTGTGAGCAACATGTGATGTACACACACCCACACACATGTATATATACCACACCCATACACACAAGAAAATCATTGTGGTTACAATATTTAGTTTGAACTGTTTCAAAGATTTCAACTTAGCTGGGCACGGTGACACACGTCTTTAATTCGAACACTCAGAAGGCAGAGGCAGGTGCATCTCTGTGAGTTCAAGGCTGGCCTGGTCTGCATAGTAAGTTCCAGTCTAGCTGGGGCTACAGGGAGACCCTGTCCCAAAAAGGCCAAAAATTTGGGGGGGGGGCGGATTTCAATCTAAAATCATGAAAATGTAACACTTGACTTCTTTTAAAAGACCACACATAACTTCAAAAATGTAAACTACTCAAATACGTAAAATAACACTTAACGGTTGCTTAATCCAGAACTTAGGCCAAGTTTAGATAGCATAACTATGATAAGAGTTTTCTTCTCTGAGTTTTCCTGTATAATTTTTATAGCTAGTCTGCTTCTAAGGAAATATGTAGTGATGACTTGAGATGTATGTGATTCCAGAGACCCTGCAGATTTTTTTGTCTCATTTATAATTAAAGTGTCAATTGGATTATTTTTGTTGTGTTTTACATATAGATTAAATAGTTGTGACTAAATATGTCTAATAGCTTTTGCTATTTTCTTTATTGGTTATTCCGTAGTCCTTTGCATTTCAGGACCTTTTGAACACTTTTTACAAAGAAGTCACTAGGCAAGGATTACAAAGCTACATGGGTTGGGATATTTGTGTTGCCTGGTAGTGGCATTGTGTTGCAACACTTTATCATTGTTTTTATTATGCCAAGGACTAGTGCAGGAACACAAAGAACATGTTTTCTAAAGATTGGTAAGTTTTTTTTAATACTTATTTATTTTTTATTTTTTATGTGTATGAGTGTTATTTTAAGTGCACCTGTGTCGTGCTTTTACCCAAGGAGGTCAGAAAAGGGTGTCAGATCCCCTGGAAGTGGAGTTACAGACAGTTGTTAGCCACCATGTGGGCGCTGGGAGTTGAACCTGGGTCTTCTGCAAGAATAGCCAGCGCTCTTAACCGCTGAGCCATCTCTCCAGCCCCCAGATGATAAGTTTTGAATAAAAAGTATTGGCTTATATGCCAACATACTTGAAATTTCACTTTCTCTAGAAATCCATGTGATTCAGAAACTATTTAGTGATACATAGGCCTTTAATGATAATTTTCATATATTTATTTTTGAGAAATTTTTACCCCCAACAAGTTTTCTACTTGGGAAGTAATTGGATAAGGAACTTGAGGATGAGTTGGGTAAAGATACTGCACAAATAAGGATTGTCGAGCCAGCCAGATCGAAGTTGTTCATGATTCAGTCCTTGTATTTTGTGCATAGTTAAAAGCTGTTTTTTACAATTAGGATAAATAAGAATCCATTTTGATATTTCAAACTGGTTGATGCTCAATGCATTTTATTATTCAAAGAATCATAAAGTAGAGGTGTGATCACTGTTAGGTAGAAGATAGACATGAATGGTAGAGCTGGGAGACTGGAGCCCTGCAGTCAAAGTCAGGTTTCTCTTGGCATAGCCTGTCAATCTGTTATACATCCTTTATTCCAGCTCTTATGATGACTCTTAGCTTTAAAAATAACAGGAGTTCTTAACTCTGGAACAGCAGAATGTCTCAACCAAAAAAGAGCCATGAAATTAATCGTGAACCTTGAGCAGTCTCAAAAGGGAGTTAACCAAGAAAACTGCAGATATATCTTGCCTTTTAGTGGTTAAATGTCCTTGAAGCTGCAGATAGGTTGTTCCCACTGTATCAGGCCATTTTCCCACACATGCACTAGTAAAAGGTCTGCATCCTCAGAAGACCTTAGCTGCACTGTATCATTTACATTGTGGTTTTAATTTGGAAGGGAAATGAGGTCACCTTAATCCATAAATATGCCACCCACTTCATAAATATTCATAAGAACTTTATTATATATAACTTAGAACTTTGCTGCTCCTGCACCTTTGGGACAATCCACTCTAATCTCTCCTTGGAGTAAATGCTGTGCTTTGCTAAATAAACTACTTAAACTGTGTCTTTCCATTGAATTTTTTTTCTTTCAAGAAGACATGAATGGGGAGATTCCCTTAACATCAGCACATTCCTTTAATCCCAGCACTCGGGAGGCAGAGGCAGGTGGATCTCTGTGAGTTCGAGGCCAGCCTGGTCTCCATGGTGAATCCAGGACAGCTGGGTCTACAGGGAGACCCTGTCTCAAAAAGACCAAAACAATAAATTAATAATAATAATAGTCATAGAGTTTGTCCTTGTCCATAAGAAGAAATAAATTTATGGGTCCTCTTTTATGCTAAAGTTTAGATTCACAGCCACATTTATCTGGCTTAAAATTTCATAGCCTTTGCACTGAATTTTTTGGTTTCTGTGATGGAACTAGATTCTTTACTATTTTCTTGCTTCATTTGTAAACTGCATAATATATCATTCTATTAAAAGCTTTACATGTTATCTTTAAATACTAAGATAGTTGGAAAGAGTATTATAGATCTTGTATGTACTTAAAATGATTTTATAGTACTTTTTCCATAAGGATTCAGAGAACCCATTTAGTATCTGTGCAATATCTTTGTGACACCATAATGGAGAGTGAAGCCCTTTACTCTAAATAGGAAATTTGAATGTGGCGAAAGCTCTGTAAATTGCTTCCCTTCCCTGCTATTTAGTGGACATAAGTGCAGTGACGAGAGAGATGAGGTGTCAGCAGTATTTAAAAATTGTTAATAATCTTAGTGGTTCAATGAAGTGGTAAATTTTTAAAACTATGAAACATTGTGTAAATGAAAGGAGCGCTGATGAAACCGTCTTATTTTATACGAGGAAAAGGAAGCCATAGTGGTATTAGCATAAAACATTAAAAGCAGTTCTCTTATATATGAGTATGCTTACCCAATGAGAGCCAATAGAGTAGATGTGAAATAATTTTTCTTCCCAGTGGTGTATCATTAGCATTGAGAATACGTCAACAATTTGTTTTTCCTACAGATTCCTGCGAGCTGGACAAATCCTTCAGGAAAATACCATATTGGCATAAAAAATGGCTATGACTTCTATCCAAAGGCTCTCAAGGAAAGGATACAGGTAATGAAGAACGCAGTATCAATTACTTGTGAATATATATGCTTCAGTGGATTTTTACCTGAAGAAAAAAAGCTTTATTTGTTTAGTTTTTGTAAAATCTCATGAGGTCTTATTTGGTGGGACATGGACTTTCAAAGACTCTGTTCAGTGGAATGTTACATACTTAAAATGCTTGTTCTTAATGTTGACTGCATAAACTAACTTAAGGAACATTAAAACTAAACTGAAGCACGGGCTTTTGTGTGTTTGTGTTTTTCTGGTAGCTGTCAGAAACTGATTTTTATTGGGTTTTTGAAGGACTTTTTAAAAGTCCAGACTGCTTTGCTTCTGTTTTTATAATTTCTAAGAAAGTTTGCCCATTTTTCTTTCTTTTTTTTTTTCTTTTTCTTTCTTTTTTTTTTTTTTTTGCTGTTTGTCTAAGCTTTCTTGCTCCCAGTCATCATTCAGTATCATTCAATGTTAATCAGATTTAAAGTCATTGAACTACAGGTGTAAGAAACACAAGCCTGGGTTGGAGAGATGGCTCAGTGGTTAAGAGTACTCACTGCTCTTACAGAGGGATCAAGGTTCATTTCCTAGCATCCACATCAAGTGGCCCACAATACCCTGTAACTCTAGTTCCAATGGATCTGACTCCCTCTTCTGGCCTCTGTGGAGACCCACATGCACATAAATTCATGCAGGTGCATGCGCGTGTGTACACGCACGCGCACACACACACACACACACATGAAGAGAGAGAAAGAATAAAAAATAGCTGTGTGGTTAGGGGCCTGCTTTAAAGAGGTGAAACTTTGTATGATGATGTAAATGCTTGCAGTGTTTAATATTTGCTCTGTCCATTAACAGAGCTGATAGGGGCTAGTGTATCTCACAGTGTCATTTTAGAACATTGCTCTGATACTAGTCATGATGTGAGTCTGGAGTTTCAGATGTTAAAATAGATGTAGTTTGTGAAATTAATGCTGATTAAATGCTGTCATCATAATGTCATCTGAGTCCTTTAGGAATGATGAACCAAAACTTACATTAATGTACACAACTTTGAATACAAACATACAGGTTTTTTTGTTCAGTACATTAAATTTAGTCAATTTTTTTCAGCTTTTGCTTTCCTTCATGTTTTAAAAAAAAAATTCTGTGTCCTACCTACATGTACGTATATAAGTCCACCCATGTAATGCAATGATTGCAGAGGCCAGAAGAATGCATCATATCCCTTGGAAAACAGTTGTTAACCACCATATAGGTACTGGGTACCCTGGGTTCTCTGCAAGAGCAGGCAGTGCACTTAACTACTGAGCAGTCTCTCCAGTCCCAGATTCAGTCAGTTGTTTTGATAAAGAACAAGTTGACATGCAAATCTAGGCCATATAGTTGAAGTAAACCTAGATAGTCCAAGTGGTTAGTTTACTGAAAGGATTCCTTTACCTGGCAGACTTCTGTCAGGAGATATGTGGTGAAGACACTGGAGATTAAGACCATTTTCAGAATCATGGAACACTGTCCAGTGAAAAAGGATGAAGCACCTAGACAAGGATTGAAAGGATTTTCCCTTCCAAATGCAACTGCATTCTTACTATAGCCCTCAATTTGCATTTGCTTCTCTGTGTTTCCTAATATCGTATGGATCCAGGAACAGCTATTGTCTTCCTTTAAATGACTAGGAATTCAGTTTCCTGACATGATGCACTATATTTTGGCGAAGAATAAATGTAAATTGGAGACTACACATATAAAAATTTAAAAAGCATGTTGGTATGGTGATAAATTTGTTCTCTTACAATTCCTTTAGTAATTGACTTTGCTACAAAGGGTTTTTGTAAGCCTTTGAGAATTCTGTAGCATTACAGCTGCTGACAAGATCGTGTATAAGTAACCATCCAGTTTACCTATTTGCCTAGTTGGGAGGTGAATTTTTGTCTTTGCAGAAAGAACGGAAGGAAAAAATTTGGGATCCTATTCACAGAGTGGCCCTTGCAGAAGCCTGCAGAAAACAGGAAGAATTTGATGTTGCCAACAATGGCTCTTCCCAGGTTGGTACTAATCACTTTTATTTACATTCTGCGCAGAATTATATTAGTGTTCTAATAGCAGACTTAGTAGCCTGCTTTTTCACAGGTTTTAGTCTTTTCACAATTTTTTTCTCAGTGGGTGTTGCTGGATAGCTTCAGTTCTAAACTTGACACACCTGGGAAGAGGGAACCTCGGTTGGGAAATTTCCTTTATCGGGTTGGCATGTAGGCATTATCTGTGAGGCATTTTCTTGATTATTGAGTGATGTGGGAGGGTCTAGCATACTGTGGGTGGTGCTATCCCTGGGCTGGTGGTTCTGGGTTATATAATATAGCAGGCTGAGCTTGGGCCAGAGGAGCAAGCCAGTAAGCAGCATTCCTCCATGGTCTGTGCTTCAGCTCCTGCCTCCGGGTTCCTGCCTTGAGTTCCTGTCCTGGCTTCCCTCAGTGATGGATTGTGACCTGGGAGTTGTAAGCTGAAATAAACCCTTTTCTCCCCAAGTTGTTTTTGGTCATGGTGTTTTATCACAGCAAACAGAAATCAGACTAAGACAGTGAGTTAAAGTTACCAGTTCAGACTTTATTACTTGCGCTATGTCAATTTGCATATCTATTTATGAATATTTTAAAGCATAGCCATGAATTATTTCTAACTAGGTGCACATAGAAATTCCTCTGTGACTCTTCCTAGTCATTATTCCCTTCCTCCTCCCCCAAATAGTCATCATCCTGTCTTCTGAATGATTTTTCCTTTTTTGAAGTTTGTAAAATAGAACCATATAGAGCTTCTTTTGCTCAGAATATTAGAAGGTCCATGTCTTGGTTGTTGTAGTTCATTTCTTTATTATAGATTGTTTTATAGGTGACTACAGTTTTATCCATTTACATATTACTACTTGCTTTGTTTTTTTTTTTTTGACTGTTAAGAATGTCAGTTTAAATGTAGTATATAGCTTTTGTAGATCATAAAGTGAGTGTATCCATTTATAGTCCCACAAGAGGTAATATGATTTTTAATCAGTTTATTTCATTTATAAATGAAAATAGCATTTTTTTGTTTATGATGAAAGTAATGTGCTAATTGCAGTAACCTTGGACAACCTAAGCATGTTAATAAGTAGCAAGTGAAAAGTTTTCATAGTGCCACCCCCAGGGAGTCACCACAACTTAGTGTTTGTCCTTGGAATTGTTCTTTTGTTATGAATATATACCTTTTCTTAATTAAAAATGAAATTGTGGACTGAGAGTATAGCTCAGTGGTAGGATACTTGCCCAGCATACATGAGATCCTGGATTCAGTCCTCAGCACTGCAGAAAAAAATTTCTTAACATTTTTTCAAGGTAAAGTGCTTTTACTATTGATCAGCATTATCTTTAGTCATATGTTAATACAACTTTCAGGACCACAAACTGTACTGATTTTAATTTATTTTCTGAAAAATTAGGCCAATAAACTAATCAAGGAGGAGCTTCAAAGTCAAGTGGAATTGCTCAATTCTTTTGAGAAAAAGTATAGTGATCCAGGCCCTGTATATGACTGCTTGGTGTGGCATGATGGTGAGACCTGGAGGTAACTCAAGTGTTTGTAGATCTTCTTCATTAAAAATGTTTTTAAGAATTTTAAGCCCCCAGAGCCTATACAGCTTATGTAACAATATCATTCAGCAAAACTATCTGAGAGGCAAATCAACTTTTGAGCCTTTTGAACTTGGGTGTTTTTCACACTAAACATGGCCTTTTCTGTTTGTTTTTTTTAACTTGTTTTATTAACCACGTGTTGGTAGATTAATCACTGGGGTGTGTGGAAATGCTTGTCATTAAAGCTGGACAATTCAGAAAGTAACTACAAGTCACAAGTCAGTGTCGCAGAGTATTTACCAGAAACACATTAGAAAAAAGGAGGAAATTGGGCACAGATGTTTTAAGTAGAATATCTAAGTTGACCTTGCCAGTTCAACACAGTAATTGGGAGTTCAGTCCTGGACTGGCCATAATGGGGTGTGTGTGTGTGTATATATATATGAGAAATCCCAGTGTTTGGTAACTGAGGTGAGAGGATTGACACAAGTTCAAGGCCAGCATGAGCTGTATACTGAGTACCAGTCAAGTTGAGGGTACGTAGCAAGACTGTCTCAAAACACCAAAAGGAAAAAAAAAGAAAAACTCAGTCTTGTATATTGAGATCCTAGCCCCACAACCTTGAAGACAGTATTTAAACTTCTCTAAGCCTGTTTAGGAAACAGGCTTATTTGTGTCTGTTGTGACAATACTAATATTTTAACAGTGCTTTGTGAAAATAAAATTTGATGTCTCCAAACTTAGTAAGCACTCAGTAAATGCTTTTATAACTAATAATGTTATTTGCAGTGAATTAGCCATCATGTCCATTGTTCATTTCCTTTCTTAGCGCCTTGTACACTATAGATTTTTCTTGGAGTTACTTAGTGTGTCTTGAGTACCTGTATATAGAAACAAGTTCTGAATACAGATATTTAGTCATGTGTGTGCACCAGTTTCATTGCAAATAATATATTCATAGTTTTTTGTGTGTATAGGTGTGTGTGTTAGTTTGAAAGTATGCAGTCATATAAACAGATTGAAATGTTTTTTTCTAAAAGTTTTGATCACCATAGTTTTTTTTATTTTTATATGTATGAGTGTTTTTCCTCCATGTATTGAATATACTACATGTGTGCAATGCCTGTGGAGGCAGAAGAGGGAATTGGAGTTACAGATTGCTTATTAGCCACCATATGGGTGTTAGGAACTGAACCTAGTCCTCTTCAAGAGTAACCAGTGCTTTTAACCTCTGAGCCATCTCTCCAGCCCCTGATCATAGTGTTTGTAATAAGTTGTTCAAATGTGTAGTATATCTTATAAAATCTACCACTTGGTGTAACATGATAGTAAGTGAAATTGGTAAGCCCTGGGTGAATTCTCTGGAAAGGGGAAGGCAACATTAAATATGAGGAAGACTGTAGACACAAAATTCCATGTACTTGGGCCTGTGGGATGGTTCAGTGGGTAAAGGTTCTTGCCACCAAGCCTGACAACCTGAGTTTGATCCCTGGAATCGTACTGCTGGAAGGAGAGTACCAACTCCCACAAGTTCTCTGACTTTCACAAGTGTGCTATGACACATGTGTACATACACACCAAAAAAAAAAGGGCAGGGGGAGCTACATGTACTGCACAAGAACTTAAATACTAATTATTAGCAGAAACTGGGCAGTGAGACAGCAAGTGGTTTCCTATAAATGTCAGGAGAGGGAGATTGCATATGTCTTTAATACCAGTGCTTGGGAGACTGAGGCTGGAAGATTTGAATTTGAGGCCAGCCTGGGCTATAAGGAGAACCTGTCTTAAAAACAACATCCAATACTACCACCACAAAAACAAAAAACAAAAAAACAGGGATATCATGTTTGTTATAGATTCTGAAATCACAGCATGTTACTTTGTTCTTAGGAATAAGAATTTAGAATCAAGATGTCCATGGCACCACTGTGTTTCCAGAAGGTTTCCCCAATCTTTAGAGCAATTTAAAAAGTAAATCGCTAGCAGCAGTTTATTGATGACTCTTCTAAAACATTTTTGTTTAGAATATTGTTTTGGAAAAAAAGATACAAAAGAATTATGTTTCATGTGCTGTTATAAATAATTAACTGTTTGTTCCCTGGATGATACAGTATATCTTTTAGAACTTTGTACTTGGATTAAAACTTTTTATAGCAGAATCTTGAAGACCCAAAGTTCCTAAGTCAAATTTAGGTATTTTCTGCAAATATTTATTTCACTTCTCATTTCAGAAATAGCAACCATTTCTCAGGGGAGATAAAACATAATGCTGGTAGCCAGTAAGATGGCTCAGTGGTTAAAGGTGCTTGTCACAAGCCTGTCATCTTAATTTTGATCTCTATAGCTCATATAGTGGGAGAAAATCAAGTCCTGCGAATTATCCTCTAACTCCATTCATGTGCACATACAAACATACATGTGATGTATAGTCCATTTGTGATTTTGTGATTGGATTTACTTAATCAGACTATTTTCTAAAGTGCTTAAAATAGTATCTTTTTAAACTAAAAAAGTAATAAAATGAATACATAGTAGACAGGAAGAGAACCATAAAATTAGATGGAAAATGCTTTAAGAAAAACAAATGCCTAAAGCTGTCATTAGACTAAAGTTCACTATAGTCGTCTGGTTTCTGGAAGTGTCCAGAGGCTGTTGGATTCACAAAGCCAGCACTAAAAGCAGCAGCAGGAAGTAAGGTCTAGCCTTTGTGTCTAGACCATCCTAAACTATTGTAACACTCCAGCCCAAGCTTCAGTTTTAATTTCCCAGGTAGCCAGTTGTTGGCTGGGACCAACAGTATCCTTATGCATCCACTAGCTGTTGAGGTCCCTCTGACCTAAGTCTTACTACTAACTCTGAAACAGAGGAATCTAGTGACTGGATTTGAGTAGTAGAGAAAGCAGGGCAGTAAGGAGATAAACTGAGAAACTGTGTGATATAGCTCTAGAATTTTTTTAAATTGCTGAATTCTAATACCTGTTTTTTCCTTCCAAACAGAGCCTGTGTTGATTCTAATGAAAATGGGGACTTGAGTAAATCTACTGTTCTGAGGAACTACAAAGAGGCCCAAGAATATGGCTCTTTTGGCACAGCTGAAATGTTGAATTACTCTGTTAATATTTATGATGATGGAAACCTACTCTCCATTGTGACTAGTGGAGGTATTCTATTTCAGATTTACTAATGTGAGAGTCATGAAGTGACTGAATGATAAATTCTTATAGCCCAAAATAACACTCTAGTGAATTCAGTTTGGACATACCAACTGAAGGACCAGTTGCTTTTGAAAGTTATAACTGTGTAAGGACTAGCCCATCGATACAAGCAAAATCTTAACTTCAGAAAATCCTTAACAAAATATGAAGTGGTTTTACTTCCAAATAGTAACTCTTCAGAAATTCACCCAGTTCTTGTAATTAGGTTAAAAGATGCTCACTAAATAAAGCATTTGGCCAATTTCAAAAATAAATGTTGGATGCTAACAAAGATAGATTTTAAATGTTTGTGTTATAATATGAAATACTACCTAATCAAAAATAACAAATCTATGTATAAATGTCAAATATATAAGTTATCTATTATAAAACATTTGTACAAAATGTAGGAGCATACTGAATTGTATTATGCATTACATATAGGCACATGTTTCTATGATGAGAATATAAAAAACATGGAAATTCAGTGGTGGTAACAGGGTGGGAGGTGGGGTAGAATAGAGTTAGTTTTAGCTTTTTCATCCCTTCCCTTCATGTTTATTGAGGTATAAATACATAGCATAGTTAGGTAAGTTTTGGTACATATGTGCACCTGAGAGACTGTCACCTAGTTTATGTACATACCTGTCTCTTCCAAATATTTGTTGTCTTCCTTTGTGGCCTAATCTGTCTGCCCACTCTCTGCGTTCTCTCACTTTGGATGAGTTTGCATTTTCTTGAATTCAGAATAAATAGAATGAATAATCAGGTTTTCTTGACTGTGTGCTTTAATCCATGCTGCAATGTATTTCACCATAATGTGTACGCTACTGTTAGTTTAGTTAAGCTAGCATACAAAATAATGGACCTCATTATGACTTGTTTATACATGTTTATCATCTTTTTTTCACATTCTATCCCCATTACCATCTCTTGAGCCCCCATCTCCCTGGTGCCCTTCCTCGTCAACAAATGTCCCTCCTGCATTTTTTTTTCTTTTATTGTGTGTGGCTATTTAGATACCAGTTACAAAAATGTAGACTATATCCATTCACCTCTTGGACATTGTTTTAACATTTGTATATAACCCTCCACTTGAAAATAGGTTTTTGTTTTGTTATTTTAATTTGGGGCCTGTATCTAACAGAATTGGTTGTATATGGTAAATATATATTGAACTTTTGGAAAACCTCAAGCTGCTTTTCTTCTGGGCTTTCAGCAGAAATGTATGAAAGCTCCAGGTATTCTTCCAGCCACCATGGGGTGTGGCCATTCTTCTTTACTATAGCCATTCTGACGTGTGATAACGACAAGGTATATTTTGGGAGGAAAATTAGATCAAACTTCTACTTTCCTATTTTTATTAGACTAAAGAAGGGAACATTGGGAGCATACTTTTCTTGCATGACTGCAGTTGACTTAGAGGCAAAGGGTCAGGTGCCTCTTTCTACTCTTCATGAGAGCCCAGTGTTACTTGTTATTTATCATTGTGCTTATATTGTTGTTATAGATATGTTTGGATCCCATGTTTATTGATAAAACTATTCTGGATTTGGTTTTTTTTTTTTAACTTTGCGTTGGAAATGAAATTTAGTCAAATATTAAATGAAGTAAAATCTGAAATGCCAGAAGAGCTTTTAGAGATTTGGGGTTTCTTTTGTTTCTAACCAATGAAAGGTACAGGAGAATTTTGTTTTCAGGTGCTACTACAAATAATTAAACAAAAACCAAAAACAAATTTGAGTATTTTGACTTTTTTGTTTTATTTTAAACAGTAATGGGATATTTCTCAGTACTTGTCATATGGACATCTCTGTGAAATATTTTTTCTTAAGCTTTACCCATTTTTTTTTTTTTGGTGGTCAGAGTGTCTCCTTACCCCTCACTTATGCTGTTGGATTTGAAAGATTATGTTCTGTGGATAATAGGCTATTTGTCAGTTATATGTATTGTAAAAATACTGGCTTTCTCTGTAGCTTACATTTTTTACTTTCTGTGAGCATAGTAAATCCAGGATAGGTGGAGACTATATGTAACTGGTTTATTTTCTGGGAATTGTGAGAATAGATAATAAATATATATATTATTTATATATCCATTTATAGGGATAAATATATTATATATAATATAAATATTATATTGTGTATATATATATCAGGATACATTTTTACTATTTTAATCATATACAGGTTGGAATGGTTAAAATTTTCATATATGACATTTTTTCAATGTCTCTCACACACCATTTCTGCTTGTAGGAGCTCATGGAACCCATGTAGCAAGTATAGCTGCTGGGCATTTTCCAGAAGAGCCTGAAAGGAATGGAGTCGCTCCTGGTGCTCAAATTCTCTCCATTAAGATTGGCGATACAAGGCTAAGTACCATGGAAACAGGCACAGGCCTCATCAGAGCTGTGAGTGTTTTGGGCTTATTGATATAAATTAGTAATTGAGGCTCTTGGGTACTTATATAAACCCAAGACTATACAGTATTCCTGGCTTATCAAGAATTCATTAAACAGTATTTGATATATAGAGCATGGTTTTGAAAGCAAATTAATGATTAATTCTTAAAGTTATTTTGTTAAATTAGAAATTACCAGGAAAAAGTTTCTTCACTGCAAATCTCTGTGGGAAAAAAAAAAAATGTGTATTCATTGTTTGCAGTAGGTCTTCTGGCAAGCAATTCAAGCTCTTTTAAAAAAAAAAAAAAACTGGCAGCTTGCTTCATCAACCTAAAAGAAATTTAAAACCTCACCTAAATTTAATATCTACACTTCATTTTGTCATGTAACTGAAGTGATTTTAGAGTAAGAACCATTGTATTTCCTCTGCCCCTATTCTACTCTGATCTTCATTCTAGAAATAATCCTTTTTTTGTTTTTAATTTATTTTTTATGTGTATGAGTGTTATGCCTACATGTGTGTAAATGCACCTGTGTCATGCAATGCATGTGGAGGTCAGAAGAGGGTGTCAGAGTCCCTGGAACTGGAATTGCAGATGGTTGTTAGCTACCATGTGGTTGCTGGGATTCAAACTTGGATCTTCTTCAAGAACAGCCAGTGCTCTTAACTGCTGAGCCATCTCTCTAGCCCCATAATAATTTTGTTTTTAATTGACCATTTATTGTTTCTTTTCCCACCCTTCTGTTTTTAGTCACCACATGACTAGAAATAACATAAATTAGAATATGATTAGTCTGCACACTGTAGGATTATAAACCATATTTATTAGCTAATGTGTTTCTACAAATTGCTGCCTAAATTAGATTCCTAATCTTTTTCATAGATGATAGAAGTTATAAATCATAAGTGTGATCTTGTCAACTACAGCTATGGAGAAGCAACTCACTGGCCAAATTCTGGGTAAGTATTCTGTTATGTCATAGAACTTAAGCTAGTAAACAGCATCAAATGTTTAAGTAAATGAATTGATGATCACAGTAGAAAAACGACCATCATAGGTAGACGATAATTCTGTGTCTCAAAGTCTCAGACCCCCCCCTACTCCATGTCATCTTTGGTGTCAGAGCTAATCACTACACCATTCTTGACCATTCCACATATTCCTGGCTGGGGTAGCTCAACTAGTGTATGTTACTTGGAATGCCATCATGTTCCACCAAGAGCAGACCTGCCAACATTTATGTAGTTGTGTATATTTAAATGAGTTTTTGGTGCTGTTTACATTTTGGGAATAGGGGTCTTGCATTTATAGTCTGAGAAATTTCACTCCATGATTCTAGTATACACCTATTATTTATTACTGTTTTAGTTATATAGTTTGGATTATATTGTAATTAGTTTAGGTATAAATAAAATGTGGGACAGTTGTATTTATTCAATCATCAATTAAAGGAATTCTTTCTTTTTTCAGGAGAATTTGTGAAGTAATCAATGAAGCAGTATGGAAACATAATATAATTTATGTTTCAAGTGCTGGAAATAATGGTCCATGCCTTTCTACAGTTGGTTGTCCAGGTGGTACTACATCAAGTGTGATAGGTTAGTTTACCATGTCAGAAATAGATTTCTTTAAATATAAGTAAAACCAGGAGACTGAGGCAGGAAGACCACAAGTTTGAAGTCAGCCTGAGATAATAGTGAAACTCTGTCTCCAAAAAGTGAAATAAATAAAATGAACAGGTCATAGTTTAGTCAGGTAAACTGCATGTCTCCTCCACATAAAACACTGGCGACCCAGGCATGTTCAAACTTTTGACATTGTGCCAGGATATTGTCATCTACAAAGTTCACATCATCAGGTTACAAAACAAAGAAAAAACAGCCTACTATTTTAAATAAGTTTGTAGTTTTGTGTACTATATGTGGCCTGTGGATTGGATATACCTTCATATAGACCTTAAATGTGTTTCCAGGAAAGTCTAGCATAGAACTGTTATCTAGAACTTATTATAATTTAAAGAAGACTAGAAAAGTGGTTTAGTAGAAACACGCACTTACTTTTTGGCACATTATTTAATGTACATAATCCTGCAAGTTATTTTTTATATACAAAATCTATGTACTTAGTAGAATATAAATGTACCTTTGTTTTCTTATTCAATGTTCTTGCTTCTCCATTTTACGTGAGAGTGAGCTAGTGTAATTAAGCAGTTTGCCGATGTGCACAATGGATTTCACCGGGAAAGTTACAATTTATTTTGTTAATGGTGAAATCATCCCACAGGTGTTGGTGCTTATGTTTCTCCTGATATGATGGTTGCAGAGTATTCACTGAGAGAGAAATTACCTGCGAATCAGTATACATGGTCTTCTAGAGGCCCAAGGTAAGTTTAAGTAGTTTTTGGAACTAATTCATCTATTTGGTTGAACTTTACGCTGTTGTGAGAGGCAGGATTTTAGATAGTAAGTAGTGATGGTCTTGTTTTAAGTAAGTTTGATATTTGAACTTTCATGAAACAAAACTTTTATAAAGCATCACAGTAAATGGAGCTTATATTCATTTTGAAGTTAAAACCTACTGGGAACATTTTAGCTGAAACCTATAAGTAAGCAAATTCTGATTGACAAGTGATGTTCATCTGCTTTGATTCTCTAATACCTTCTGAACTATATTTGTCTAGTTCCAGGAGTTATTCTTCTTTCTTAAGAGACATTACGTCCTAATTCTTACAATACCTCATTGTGACATCAATGAGTTCAGGCACCCGGTGAAAAATAAACCCTATTTTTAATTCATCCCTTTACCACTTTGGAGATGATTTAGACGAATAGACTGGTTCAGTGCCTTTCTTGGTATCTGCAATAGAGAAGACATAAATAAGCAATTTGTGATATGAGCTTACAGTGCCATTGTAGGATGATGGGACTATAGAAGTGGGAGCAGTCACTTGAATGCTTCCTAGAGGAGAAGGTATCAGTCAGCCTTGAAGGATTGAAGATGTGGAGAGACAGAAAAGGGAGGTCTGTATGGCAGGAATAGCTTGAATTCAAAGACAAGCAGATTTTAATGTGAACCTAATTTAGTGGGTTTTCCCTTATGTATCAGAAAGCTTTGTCATGTACTATCATCATATGCTACCTTTGTCTATCCAACTGATATCACCAAACGAGAGTGGCTAGGGATAAGAGTCAAATTCCACAAAGGTTTATGAGTTTGTGTTCAGTTAATATACAAATTATTAAATTTGTTACTTCTAAAGCTGATTTTTAAATTTCAAGTTTTATGTTATACTTAAGATACAAGTATTAGAAATGTCAATTTAAGTCAGTCTTTGCTAATGTTCTTTGTTGTAGAACATTTAACAAATTTCCTTGGGTGATTGTGGTATATTTATTGCAGTGGTGGGAATATGTATGTTTAGCATACATGAAGCCTTGAATTCAATCTCCAGCACCAAAACAAAATGAAATTAAAATAATACATGAAGAATTATTTCAAGAAAACACAAAAAAATACTTAAAAAATTAAAAAGGAAGTTTGGGTTGAGCTGTTGTTAGTTCACACAACAGTTGATCTAAAAGTTGAATGTGTTTGTATTTACTATATATGACACATGAAATACTGTTTTAGATATTTGGTTTGATTATAATGGTATAAAAATGCAAAATATTTCCGGGTGTGGTGGCACTGCCTTTAGCCTTTAGTCCCAGCACTCAGGAAGCAGAGGCAGGCGGATCTCTGTGAGTTTAAGGCCAACCTGTTCTACATAGTGAGTCCAGGCCACCTGGGGCAGGGAAAGCCTGTCTCAAAAAGACCAAAAAAAAAAAAAAAAATACAAGATATGGACTAAAGATTATGCTACAGGACATATTTGATGATTCTTTTTGAAAAACACTGCCTCTCTCTGAGTATTGAACATCAGACACACAGTATCTACTTTTAATTTTCTGTGATCTCCATTACAACTGTAAGTTTTACCTTTACAGCTTCACACAGTGGCCTCTCAGAGCCTCTTTGCAAGATTCCAACCTTGCCACATAGTGCCTGGCTTCAGCTGCTCTCTGTGACTTCCTCAGTCTTGCATCATTACCTTCAAAACCTTCAGTAACATGTGGATGACACAACACTGACAGGTTTTGCTACCTTCTAGAGATGTAGCTTGGCCCTCTTAGACTACAGCTATATCTGCTTCTGTGTACTGATCATGAAGAAATACCCCCGTAATTTCTTTCAGGGAACAGGGAACCCTCCTCATCCTAGGCTTCCTTCCTTTTAATGAATTCAGATCTCTGCAAGATAGAGCCACTGATGGGTGGGATCTTACCCTTAGGACATCCTTCCTACAGTCCCAGGGTACATAGGAAGTTTCACCACAAAGTTGTTGATCTTTGTCTGTTATAGGTGTTCCTCTGCACTAGCCTGAATACCATCCTGCCTTTAAATTTAGTCTGCCAAATAAATCAGTCTTATCACCTTCAAAGTGTAACCCTACTCAGGCTCTTGGGACACAGGAGGAATGCAGGCAGATTCTTTGTCAAAATATCACTTGAATGGTCCCTATCCAGTTTCTGATAGTCTTTTCCCCTCTGAAACCTCATGAGCCAGGCCTCAATGGTCCACATTTCTCTTCAGCGCTCTTTTCTTCCAAAGTCCCACAAAAACATCCTATTAAGCTTTGCTGACATTATTCAGTAGATTTTCTAGTGCAAATTTCCAAACTCTTCTACATTCTCTTTTATAAATATTTTATTTATTATTTTTATTTTATGTGTATGAGTCTGTGTGTATGTGAGTGCATCCATGTCATGCAGCACCATGGCCGTCAGAAGAGGGCTTCCAATTTTCCTAGAACTGGAGTTAAGGACAGTTTGTAGCCACCATGTGGGTGCTGGGAATTGAACCCGGGTCCTCTGCAAAAGCAGTCGGTGCTCTTAACCGCTGAGCCATCTCTCGAGCCCCGATTCCTCTACATTCTTTAAAAGAAAAAAAAAAAAAAATCCGAAGACTTAAAAGCTGCACGGTCAGGTTTTTTATACCAATGTCCCCACTTCTTGGTACCAGTTTCTTAGTTTCTTTTTCTGTTGCTCTAATAAAATGCCTTGACAAAAGCAACATAAGTGAGAGAGGGTTTATTTTAGCTTGCAGGTCTAGGTTACAGCACATCATTTCAGGTAGGGGACAGTAGCAGGAGCTTGAGAGAGCTGCTCACATTACTTCCATGACAGAGCAGAGGTGAGGGTGCATTCCCACTTGCCAATACTCAGCTCACTCTTTTTATTTAGCCCTGGGCCCAGCCCTGGATTATGCTGCTGCTCAAGTTGAGCCTTGTTCTTCCATAGTAATTCATATAATCAAGATAATCCCTCATAAACATGCCCATAGGCCAACCTAGTCTAGACAATTCCTCATTAAGATTTTCTTGTCAGATGATTCTAGATTGCATCAAATTGACAATTTAAACAAACCATCACAGAAAATAGCACTAGATCTTTCTAAATTTAAAATGTTTATTGATATTTTGATATTTCATTAAACTTATATTTAAAATGTAATTAATATTTAGAAGTGCTTTGTGACCAGCTACTTTACAGGGTAGTGGAAAATTAATGAAGGACAACAGGAAGTAGTCGGTTAAATTTAAGACTAATTTTTTTCTGTTGTAAAATACCTAGTGCTCATTCTGAAAATTGGTTGATACTACACATACTATAAACAAAGTAAAAATCCACCAAAACTTCTACTATAGATATATATGTCTGACATTTTGAAGAATATATTTCTTGGGATAATAACTATTCAAACATTGTTGTCACTTACCAATACAGTGTGAACATTTTACACGTTAATGAATACTTAATCTAACCATATTTCAGATATCCAGTTATAAGAACTGCACCAACCCATTTCAGTAGTAAGATATGTTCATTGCTTGCGTCTGTGAAACTGAAAGCAGTTGCCCTAGTGTTGCTAGCCAGGAATAATCATAAAAGGGAGTCCAGCAACCTCTTTGAGAAAGTAGTGTCACACATATCCTTCTTGGGACAGAGAACAGAGCTGTTGGACAACACTGTGATCATAAACGCCAAGGGTTTTAGCTCTCTTAGACTGCTTGAGAGCCCTTGATGCATTTCCTAACTGTCCAGTGTCAATCTCTATGCATGTAAGGTCAGCCTAAATTCATATGTGCTATAGACAGAAAACATACCAGATTTGGAAGACTTAGTCCAAAATAGAATGTAAACTAACTCAGTTTTAGTGTTTTCTATCAATTGCATTTTTAAATTATAGATATATCTAGTTAAAGTATATTATTAAAATTAATTTTGTAAGTCTTTTGTTGGCTCTTTAAAACTGTGGCTTTTAGGGTTGGTGAGATGGCTCAGTGAGTAAAGGTGATTTACTGCCAAGACTTGCAGCCTGAGTTCATTCTCTAGTACCCCGGTGGAAAAAGGGAAGAACCAGCTCCACATTCATGTTGTGACACCAATGCACACATGCACATACATATATGCACACATAAATAATGTGATTTTTAAAATGTGGCTCTTAGAAAATTTAAATTGCATATAAGGCCCATATTAGGTTTCTGTTGGACAAAATGAAAATTTTCTGGTATAAATAAAAGAGAAGGACACTCATCAAGGTGCCTGAGCATTTTTCTCTCCCTAATATCTCTGACACCTTTGGTCTGTTCCATGTGAACACAAATATGTACACACAGACATTTCTTTCCACTTATAAGAAGAAGATAAATGTGTGATGGGAAAATAGCTATGCTAGGTCAGTTTCCTCCCTTTAATATCCCATAACAGTATCTTTGTCTTTTTTTTTATAAAATGGTTGCAAATAGTGTGTAATTTTGTACTATAATCATAGATTTTTTTAAGATTGTTGTGTCTATACAGCTACCTTTAACCCTAAGCAAATTCCCTGGCTTTCTGTTTAGTGCTGACGGGGCCCTTGGTGTGAGCATCAGTGCACCAGGAGGTGCCATTGCTTCTGTTCCTAACTGGACATTGAGGGGGACTCAGCTAATGAATGGGACATCGATGTCTTCCCCCAATGCCTGTGGAGGCATTGCCCTAGTACTTTCAGGTAAGGATCTGATGTAATGCTCTCTTATTTATTGCAGACTGTGTTTTCTGAAGCTGTCATGGTGAGAACATGGGTAGAATTTTGTAGTGTCCTGAGCACAAAGTAAGTGTAAGATAAAGAATGATTTATAGGATCATAATCCTTTGATTGTGTATTCATTCACTCATTCAGCAAACATGATTTCTTGACTGATTGCTCTTAATGATTATCAAGCAATATTTTAGCTCTGGGGCTAAATCTGTGGACAGAACACCAAAAATATTTTGCCCATATGAAGTTTATATTGTAATTATGAGGCAGACATTAAATTTTCAGGGGGAGTCTTTTTGAAACAGGGTCTCCCTGTAGCCCTAGCCTGGAATTCACTATGTAGACCAGGCCGGCCTTGAACTCACAGAGATCCACTGAGGCAGACATTAAATTTTAAAATGTTGGGGCTGGAGAGATGGTTCAGTGGTTAAGAACACTGGGTGTTCTTACAGAAGACCTGGGTTTGAATCTCAGCACCCGCATGGCAGCTAACAACTGTCTGTAACTCCAGTTCCAGGGAATCTGACAGCCTCTTCTGTCATCTGCGGGCATTGCATGACATGGGTGCACTTACCTACATGCAGGCAATACACATATGCACATAAAAAAAAATAAAATGTTTTTTAAATGTTTTATATTACATGTTACCAGACGATGAATGCAGAGGAGCACAATGAAGTGGAGAGATGGTACGGGTTTCTGGGTGGGTGTGCAGTATTAACTAGGACATCACTTGCTCACTTAGGACTAGAGGAGGCAGGATGCTATGAGCTCCTGCCTCAGAAGTATCCCTCTATCCCCCACCTTCCTCCTTCATTTACCCCTTTCCTAGCTACTGTTAATGGTCTCCTCTGCCTGATATGGATAAGCCATGTTGGGGAGAAACAGTCTGCCTGTGAGCTAGCCTACCCAGTGCCAAATCACCTGCCAGCTTGAGTCAGAACTTTCAGGACAGATCCTGGTGTCTCTACTCACATTTTTAGTTTTTTTTAATTAGAGAAATATTTCAAGGTCACTTGTGTTTCTCTTTTTAGACATACTGCTCTCTTGGCCTCCAAATCCTTTTTGGCATTTTTTTGGCTCTGAAAACTCAAGCATTCTATAAGCCCAGCTCATCTATCAAGTTCTCTTGATCGTCTTTCATCTTTTCTAGTTTCTCATGGACATAATTATTGCTTCCTTAGTTTTCTTTTGTGGTTTCATAGAGTTACATGTTTATTACATCTAAGCAGTAACATGATAAGCGCAGAGAGGTCAAAAATGGTACACTATTCATCCTTAACAGTCAATAATGGAAATCTGACAGATTGTTGGCCTCCATAGCCTTTCTGTGTTCCAAACCTGGCTACATGCTAGAATCACCTGAGAAGCTCTTGATAAGTAGCAGTCCCTGGTGCCTAGGCATTAAAAATTCTGGTCTTTGGTGAGACTTTGCCTGGTGCTTTGTTTTACCTGAGTTCTGTTGGTGTTTATAACATGCACTTGGGTTAGCATCGCTTTGGACCTGCAATATTTTGAAGAAAACATCATTCAGATGCCTCTAGGTGTCTGCTTACTACATCATGCCATATCTGTATTGATTCCACTGCAGACAGCATGCAGTTATTTGTTTCTGAGTGAACAATTTGTATGATGCAAGTGGTTTGAGTCACACTTTCAGTTTTATAAGAAAACTATTCAGAAGTGGATAATGAAACACAAAAACAGAAGAGGCTGTATTTCATCATCTTAGGTTTCAAGTAGTAACCTCATTAACATTACTTTCTTGGTTTTGTTTTTTAATTTTAGGTCTGAAAGCAAATAATGTTGACTATACCGTTCACTCAGTTAGAAGAGCTCTAGAAAACACTGCAGTCAAAGCCGACAATATAGAAGTATTTGCCCAGGGACATGGCATTATTCAGGTATTGTTGTCTGTGTGAAAGTTTTGATTATAAAGCATCAAAATAATGTTTTGAGTATTACTGCGTGATGATTCTTCTGTAGTCGTGATTCACTATGTCTAGATTATATGGCCATTTAGAACTATAAGAACAAAGGACATAAAAACAGATTTTATAGATAAGACAGATTTTCTGCATTAAGATAAACAGCCTGTGTATGGTGGCACTTGTCTTTAATCCCAGCACTTGGGAGGCAGAGGCTGGCAGATCTCTATGAATTCTGGGCCAGCCAGGGCCATATAGTGAGACCCTGTCTCAGAAAAAAAAAAAAAAAACGAGGGAAACATGAAGGTCATGTAGAGGTTGGGAATTCAAAGCAGAGAGGTAAGGGTAAACATTACTCAAGCATTCAAGCATAAGGATAAGTTAGTGGGTCACCACCCTCCAGTTACTTGAGAATAACTGTAAATGAAGAGGGAAGTGAAATGTTCATCAAAGTGGTAATTAAACTGGTATTTTATCCAAAATTGTAGACTTACCATCTTAGTTGTAGTATTGATTAGTTTAGAGACATGAACATAGATACCAGGCTTTTGCTTGACTGTACAGTGCTACAGCTGATACTGCTACAGCTGAAAATTAAGTTGATTGATAATTTGTAATAAAAATATTTCTTGCCCTTCCTATTTATTTTTTTTAATATTTTACTATTTTTATTTTGTGTGTATAAGTGTATTGCCTGCATATATATAAGTGTACCCTTGTCGTGCAGTGCCTGTGGAGGTCAGAAAAGGGTTTCAGATCCCCTGGAACTGGAGTTATGGATGGTTGTTAGATGCCATCTGGGTGCTGGGAACTGAACCCAGGTCATCTGCAAGAACAGCCAAGTCCTCTTAACTGCTGAACCGTCTCTCCAGCCTCCCGTCCCATTTATATTTTACTGTCGATATTTTTTTAGGTTGACAAAGCCTATGACTACCTCGTTCAGAATACATCATTTGCCAACAGATTAGGTTTTACAGTTACAGTTGGAAATAACCGTGGCATCTACCTCCGAGACCCTGTTCAGGTGGCTGCTCCTTCAGATCACGGTGTTGGTATTGAGCCAGTATTTCCAGAGAACACAGGTAAGTAGTAGGCTGTTCATAAACTGAAGCTTTCACATTTAATGCCTTAAATGAATAATAAATTGTAGAAGAATGTTTGCCTGTCTAATGTTCTAAAGGGAAAAGAAAACTTGACTACTGGTTATTTTAAAACTTTATAGACTTGATGATAATTGATGATAAATATTAATTAGGGATCCCAGTTCAGTAAGCATCTTAACCATGGAAGAAAACAGTAGACTAGGCTTTTAGTGGCCCACAGTTCAATAAACCAGTAATGAAAATAGATTCCTCTTCTGTCCACATCTTACTCCTAGAGCATAAGACAAAACTTTCAGATAAGAGTAAGGAATAGAAGCAGCCAAGGGAGACTGCAGCTCAACTGGGTATAAATAAAATTGTCATCACTGTATTTTTATCAGCTTATTTTAGTCAGATGCTGTTCTCTGTATACGTTAATATAAAATATCCACTAAAAATTCCCATTATAAGGCTTAGCAGTATTTGCTGAAAGTATGTATGAATCTTACAAGGACACTAAATTATAAAGAAGATTCTGTGACTTTTATTTAAGCTGTGATGTGTCTATCAGGTCCAAAGCATTGTACAGCTTACCAAACTAAGTTGTAAAGTTTTCTTGACCTAACATAGAACTTTCTAAAATAGGTTCAAGGAAAGGGGGAAAATAAATGCTCATTTTAATTTTTGATCTTTTTAATGCCAGAAAACTCTGAAAAAATATCCCTTCAGCTTCATTTAGCTTTAACTTCAAATTCATCTTGGGTTCAATGTCCCAGCCATTTGGAACTCATGAATCAGTGTCGACACATAAATATACGTGTGGATCCCAGGGGCTTAAGAGAAGGATTGCATTATACAGAGGTATAGAAATATCTGTGTTTTTCATTCCTTTACTCTTTAAAATGTTTTATGAATTCAAAGTAAACAATCCCAGGTCTGTTTGCTTTTTTATTAAGAATCAACTGAATGCCTTTTCATTTGCCAAATTTTGCAGCTTTTCTGTTTCCCTTTAAGCAGTTTGGTATATTGTGTTCTGTCCTTGTCTGAGGAAGACCAGGGAAAGAAACAGAATAGCAAAGCCTTTTTGATTAGGGCTCTCTAATTTGTTAACTGTGTAATTTGGCTAAAGCTGTGCTATGGTTATCTTTAATACTTGGACAAAAAAACATCTATTAAACATGGTAGTTGTAGGTGAACATAGAATAGTATCATAACAGTATCTCTACCTCCAAAATTATAATACTAATTTTAGTTTGTAGTAGAGAATAATTAAAATATAATTATTTCATAGTTGATGTCTTATTGCCCCATTAGTCTCAGTCAAGGTTTATCATACATGTGATTGGGCTATGTGTTATTTTGTGAACTAATGTCAATAATCTGGTGTTAACTTACATGTAAGACCCCTAAATTTTAAGATTAGCTTATTCTGTGACTAGATTATACCTTTTATTTCCTGTTTTACAAGTTTTTGAAGGATGTTGAAACTTGCCATTCTTTCTTTAAGGTATGTGGCTATGATATAGCATCCCCCAATGCAGGTCCTCTGTTCAGAGTTCCAATCACTGCAGTTATAGCAGCAAAGTAAGTAAGAGACTTTTCACAGCTCGCTCTTACATCTAAATTGTTAATGGCTATTTGTGGAATAGTCTACATCTTTTAAAAATTTATTAGGCCAGAAGCAGGTAACCAGGTTCAGCTCCTAGCTAGCATTCTAGGTGGCATATAGTCAGCTGTGCTATTCCTGTTAATTGAGAGGGGAAAAAAGTGAGGGCACTGGCCCCTGCCCACCTTTCACTGAAACTGCTCTGCCCAGGCTGCTGATGACTCCATATTGCTACTCCAATTCAGAGGCTGTCTCAACTTTTCTTTTACCCCATCCTCCTGCAGTGCTCAGCAGTGTTACTTCATCCTCTTCAATGTCTACCCTGCTTTATCCCCCTGTGTCTGAGAGTACACTCCTCTGACTTTTTCACTTTTCTAGTTACCTTCTATTTCTCAACCATTACTTACACCTTCTATCTCATCCACCCTGGAATCAGGGAATTCAAATTCGATAGTATTACTTCTTGCTTAAAATACATCAGGAACACCTCTTAAGGATGAAGTTTAAGCTCCTTAAAATAACCTACAATGACAACTCACAATTATAGCCTCAGCCAGCTTCCTATCACTGAGTACACCAAATTATATTTTTTAGCCAGCTCTTTGCTCTAACACTCCTGGGTTCCTCAGGGTTTGTGCATTTGAACTCTTGATTTTTTTGCTTCATTTGCCTTTCAGATAACTAGACTCATTCCTGGGCATCTTAGGTAAAGGAAATTCCTTATTCTTGCCTTTTGACACTTTTAATAAGCTCCTAGACAATCTTTAGCCAGTATGTTCTAATTTTTTAATTTAATATATGCTAGTTGACTATGAGCCCTCTGAGAACACAAACTGTATCTTACACAAACTGTGTCTTACCCATTCTAAATTGACACTTTCCTTTGAATTACTCAAGTTAAATACTAAGTATGGAGCAGGTCTCAGCCTATGAGGGCCATAGGATGAAATCAAGGAGATTAAATTTAAAAAGTGGCATACACATGGAAAATTTGCATGACACATTCTCCATAATATATTTCTAACATCCAGAAGGAATTTAGGCAAGGTAAATACAAGACTATCAGCTGATAACCTCATTTCCTTTAGGAAGCTTCCCCAGGCTCACTTTTAGGAACCAAGCCTTCTTCTGTTTTCCACTTACAATTCCTTTCTTCTTGGAGCTTACTGTGTTAAATGGTTTTCTTCCCTCACTAATTTGCATAGAACAAAGGACCATGTTTTACTCATTGTTATATTTCTAGCTGCAAATAACAATGCCTCATATATAGTAGGCAGTGATTAAATGTCATACTGACAAGGATGTGAGTTCAGTATATATTTTATTTCTATAGAACATAGTTATACATTTGACCTTGATGTTTCTTTGATTTCTCATGAAAGTAGTTTGTCTTTACTGTGTTGTAGTATAGGAACAGTTTGAAATTGCCAGAAATGGCTTACTATCAGTTTCGTTTACAACTGTAAGACAAAAAATATTGATTTTAATATCTAGAACTCATTATAGTCAAGAATCTGATAATTAGAATATTCTTTAATTGTAAAATTCATTTAAGAAAACAGGAAACAATATAAGCTTTTTATAATGTATGTTATGAATTATAAAAATAGACAAGTAGAATCATCTGTACTCTGCTGTGTAGAGGTTATGTCTTCTAACATGTTACACTCACAATTACAGCCTCAGCCAGCTTCCTATCACTGAGTACACCAAATTACACTTTTTACAAAAAAAGTGTTACAAAAATGGGATAATATTGTCTTTACTGTTCATAACCAACTTATTACAATTCCAGTACTTATTTCTAATGAGCTGGAGTTTTTTTGCATTCATTGAATAAAATCTATAGTGCTGGTAGTCTTATTGTACATGAGTGGCTATTTTTTCAGAGTATCATATTTAATAATTTTTTTTTAATTTTCAGAGTAAATGAGTCATCACATTATGATCTAGCCTTTACAGATGTACATTTTAAACCGGGTCAGATTCGAAGGCATTTTGTTGAGGTTCCTGAGGGCGCAACCTGGGCTGGTAAGTAAAATTAGTCTATGACTACTTATTTTTTTAAATATGTATTTTTTTAATAATTTTTAAAATTCTCTTGGAGAATTTTATACATATATACAATGTATCTTGATCATATCTACCTCCTCATTTTCCCCCTCCAAATCTTCCTAGAAACCCTCTCATAAGATTAAAAGCAACACAAGTCAATGGGTATAAATATAAATATTTAGAAGGCAGTTTGACAACATGACCATTTAGCAAAAATTGCAGTAATAGTAGGTTCCTCCAAGGGCCTATGACCTCCCCAGCTATGGGATTTTTACCAGGTTTACACTACCAGGCATGAATTCCCTCCTTTGGAGCGGGCTTCAGATTGAATCAGAAACCAGTTGGTTACCTCCGTAACAATCACGCACCATTGGGCATATCTTACCTGGTAGGTGTAACTGCTTATTTTTACCTACATTCTATCTCTAATGATTATGTGTTACAGATACATGAACCAAATTTAAATTAGCAACCAGCATTACTGAATGCCTCTGGAGTCTGGGCCTCCTAGTAGGCATTTTACACACCCATCGGAATCTTATAAAATGGATAGATACTGTTATTAAAGATTAAATGGTTTCTATTTGACTTAGAAATACATTTTTTTACTTACATGTAAATTTTCCTCTATCTGTTCCATAAGTTTTTTAATAATAAAAATAATGAAATTTAGTATGTAAGACCTGGTTAGGGAAGAGCTGGTTGTCTTTGTGATTCCCTATACTGTCCTGTGGTCATCTGTCTATATGCATCCCATTTGTCTGTTACTTGAATCACAGGAAAGGTGAGGGTTTTCATGTTTTATATAAATGAGTAAGAGCAATATAAAAATAAAAGCTGGGAGTTAAAGCAATGAATTGAAAGAGTCTGTACACCATATTAATTTGCAAACTGATGGTGGAGCTGTTACTGTGTTAATTTCCTTTTGAGGGTTCTCAGGAGTGGCTCCAAACTAATGTCTTTCTACATTCTGTCTGTGTACTAAGCCATTAAGAGAACTGCTTCTAGAGACCTTTTCTCCTTATCCAAACCCTGACTTAGGTGTTGAGAGAGAGAGAGAGCATTAAGGGAAGGCTCAACTTTAGACATTGATGAGTCTGGGCTGTGATGGAGACTCTACCATATACGTCTACTTGGAACGGCTTGCTTAATTAACTAAATTCCTATTTTAACTAATATTGTTCATCTTCTTGTATAAGAATAGATTTTTCTTTTCATTAATTTTTATGTATATGAGTGTTTATGCCTGCATGTGTGTTAAGTGCACCTGTGTCGTGCGGTGCCCTTGGAGACAGAAGAGGGTGTTGGATCCCCTGGAACTGAAGTTATAGACAGTTAGCTGCCATGTGGATGCTAGGATCCAAACCCAGGTCTTCTTAGACCAGCCAATGCTCTTAACAGCTGAGCCATCTCTCCAGCTCCAAGGATAGATATTTTATAAAATGCCTAGTCTATGCTTAGATTACCATCATATACTTAACAGTTCTGAGGGTCAGAGTTGTGGCATTGCCTAATACTGCAGTATTTCTATAGGGCTCCTTGGGGATTTATAGCTCTAGGCTCTGATACAATGTTCATTAATAATACTGAGAAATAAAAATCTGGGCCACAAAAAGTACTCTTGTTACAGCTCAACCCTCTGCACCTTGCAATATACTGAATAAAGCTAATTTTTGAATTGTTTAGTGATAAAAGTCAGTAATGATAATAATCTTTAATTTATTTGGTTGGTTTTGAAAGCAATTAGGGGTTTTCAAGGGACTGTTGTTATAAAACGTTATTGAATAGTCTAGAATGAAGGCATTTTCACATCATTTTACAGTGTTAGAAGTGTTATGATGGTTTCTATTTCAATCATTTCAAAATATTGTCAAAACAACAGATTTCGTGCTCTTAGTAATTGGGTAGGTTCCAAGAACTTTATGCCCCTTGTCTGTGAGAACCAAAATAGACTGAACTTTGCTTCTAGTTACAGCAGGTATTGTTTAGATAATCCTGCCTCGTAGTGTTTTGGCTTAGCTTGAGCTGTGCCATATAGTAAAGACAAGCAAGAGTGGTTCTGATAGTGTTATGCTGCAGAAAAAATAGGAACAAGTAAGTGAAGAAGACAACTAAGAAGAGTTACCAAGAAGTTGGCACTTGGAATTTGATTGGGAATTGATTTGCTTTCACAATGAAATGAGAGGTAGGAGGGCTTTTAGAAGGTCTTGATTAGGATAATTATCTGTACATCTAAAGACAACTTTGTTCTTTTCTGGTGTTTGCACTTAAGATTGTTTATTTAATACTGGTTTATTTCTTCCAGATTATCTTCTGTACAATATTCTTTTGCTTTATTTCAAGGAGGTACGCAGGCCTCACTTGAAAACATCATTGTATTCTTGATTATTCCCTAAGTAAGCAGACATGATTAAAACTGCTTCATGAGCATTTTAAATCTTAGTAGATTAAAACTTCACTTCTTCCTTTATTTTAGAAGTTACTGTGTGTTCATGTTCTTCTGAGGTATCAGCAAAGTTTGTTCTTCATGCGGTACAGCTTGTGAAGCAGAGAGCATATCGAAGTCATGAGTTTTATAAGTTTTGTTCCCTTCCAGAAAAAGGAACACTGACTGAAGCTTTTTCTGTCCTGGTAAGCTTATTTAACAGATTAAAATCCAAAACACCCCTTTTCCTTTTGGGGTATGGGCTAAGACTTTATAGTTTGTGCCTAGGACATGTTTCATGCCTAATAAAAGAAGTAAGAAGACAGGTAGTCTGATTAAGAATACTGAAAAGCAAGCCTGGCATGGTGGTACATTTGGGAGGCAGAAGTGGGTAGATCTCTGAGTTCAAGGCCAGCTTCATCTGCATAGTAAGACTCTGTCTCAAAAAAAAAAAAAATTAAAACCACATTTCAAGTAAATATTCCTCCTTCTCTCCATCTCCCTCTCTGAAAGTACTAGGGATAGAACCGAGGGGCAAGTGTTCTATCCCTGAACTGTATTCCCAACCAATGTTCATCTCTCTTTAACTCAAATACTTCACTCAAAGAATAATGCTAATCTTGAGGCATTTCATATTTTGGACCTTGATTTACATTGTTTTGCTCATTAGTGTAGATTATTTCTATGTGAAGCTTTTGGCAGGGGCAGGGGTGGGGGTCTTTTCTGACACAAAATCTCCCTGTCTGGAACTCACCATATAGACCAGACTGGCCTCGACTTCATGCTGTGAAGCTTTTTTTTTTTTACAGGGTACTTAGTACCTTCCTAATGTCCTGTTGAGAATCTACATGTAGATTCTGCAACATAGAGGCAAGTCTCTGTTTTCAGTCATGGTGTTAGGAACGACTAGTCCTTCCTGCCTGGAAGGTAGATATTCTGCTGGGCTTCTTCTCTTGGGTTTTCATTCCTTCGTTTGTCTTTCCCATATTTCTGTCTCTGATGCTTTATATAACGCAGTGTTAGCTCCTAAACTTATTGATCCAACACTTCATAGAAAACCTAATTTAACATTGCATCAATGCTAGGGATAGCTTGTCTGTCTCTTTTTTAAAGTTTCTTAAAGAGAAAGGTAGAAGTGGCCATAATTTCATTCTTCTTTAGTTGCTTAGTGACCCTGAACCCAAAAATCCATCCTTTCCTATTGAATCTACCTTAAAAATTGTTGTAATATCTTTTCTTATCATTATTCTTAATTATTTTTCTCTTGGTCCTATTTTTTTTTATTCTGCTTTTCACCATTAATTTACTGTGTATATTTTCTATGGGTGCCTTACATCTTTTATGATACTTAAAAAGCATTAGATTTAAGTAGATATGTATTCATGAGTATGTCTACTTAAAGCCTACCTACATCCATCTGTGCAATTAAGATTTGGTGAACACCTAACATAAATGATAAAAAAAAGTTTGTGTTTTCTTACTACAAATAAAATATTTGTTTTGAAACAGAGTAATATTAATATTAGATTATATGAGAAAAAAACAAAAAGGATTCATGCATTGCCATTTTTATTTGCAGGGCGGGAAAGCAATTGAATTTTGTATTGCTCGTTGGTGGGCAAGTCTCAGTGATGTCAATATTGATTATACCATATCTTTCCATGGGATAGTGTGTACTGCACCTCAGTTAAACATTGTAAGTCCTATGACATTCCCATTCTTTTTAATGTCATGTATTAAAAATAATTTCTTTGGTAGATTTAAACCTTAATGGGAAACTAACCTATGAGTCAGAGTTGTATGTGTTCATGAGTATTTAAAACTACATTGCATAAATTTATTTTAGAAACAAAATGCTTTCTATTAAAGTTTAAGAAATTAACTTTTAAATATCTTTTGTAGCATGCATCCGAAGGAATCAATCGTTTTGATGTTCAGTCCTCTTTAAAGTATGAAGATCTGGCTCCCTGCATAACTTTGAAGAGTTGGGTCCAAACACTACGGTATCTCTCAGTGTTTTCAGATTTATAGATGTTGAATGTTAATGGGAAGGATCCCTCTTTGAAGGATCCCTCTTTGAAGGATCTAGTTGTTTATGAGCTGGTTTGTAATCCATGTCAGTGCTAGAGATCAAAATCCCATTTGATTTTGCAGCCTAGAAATCCTCGCAGGTTTTGGGGACGTGGCTCAGCAGCACTTTCTGCCCTCATTGATCCCATCCTCACTGGTTTGCATCAGTATATGTTGACCTTTTTTACTTCTTAACATAAAGTAACAAATTAACAGCTGGGCAGGTGGTACAAGGCTCTAAACGAACTACTCTGCCTCCAAGGCCCTGACTCAGAAGTTAAGAAAGGGGATTGGGGATCTGGCTCTATGGTATTCATCTACCATTCACAGAGCCTTCAGTTCAATCCCTAGTACTACATAAAAGCAAAACAACTTACCAGCTTTCCCAATTTTTTTACTGTTTTATTATTTTTTCTGTGTATGATTGTATTGTCTACATATATGTAAGTGCACCCATGTCATGGTCATGCAGTGCCCACAGAGGTCAGAATAGAGTGTCAGACTCCCCTGGAACTGGAGTTATAGACAGTTAGCTACTATGTGGGTACTGGGAATTGAACACAGGTTCTCTACAAGAACACTTAGGGCTCTTAACTAGTGAGCCATCTCCCCAGACCCCCGTCCTGATTCAATTTTATGACTTCTTGGGCCATTATTTTCAGAAATTGCAACAATGTTGAATAGTAGAAATTTGTCTACTGGGGATGTACCATAAGCTTCCCCTGTGACAGCAGGACCTCAATCTTCCAATCTCAGTATTCTGCTTTACTGTAATAACTTGCTTTAGAGGACACTGTGAAGATTGCACGGTTCCTTAGAATGAGGACCAAGTGTGTCCTTGATATATGGTGTAGCCTATGCCATGCCTCTGCAACCACTGGCAGTTAATGGGGGTGGACAGCCGTGGGGACAGATACATCAAAACCTGTTCTTTAACACTGTTGGTGATTGTTGGGATTTGGTTGTGCTAAGAGCTATTTGTAACATTTAAAAATGTTTTCATCATGAACAGACTATCTGTGTAATATTACAGCAAGATCTAAGCTGTGTTGCTATGATTCAGGCAATAAGGAATTATATTTGTTAATGATTAAAATTTTATAAACTATACCATAAAAAATAAAATTTCAGGAATACTCTTTCATTTTTGAAACTTGCTTAGTCCTTACAGTCTTATTTGTCTCATAAAAAGAAGTCTTGAATTAATTCATTGATACAATTGCCTCATTATAGCCCAGTAAGTGCAAAAACCAAACCTTTAGGATCAAGAGATGTTTTGCCAAATAATCGCCAGCTTTATGAGATGGTCCTGACTTACAACTTTCATCAAGTAAGTTTTTGTCTAATAAAATATACCTACATAATAAACTTTTGCTTTATGTATCATGAAATAGCAAATGAAACATGGTTTAAGAAAAAAATGATTCCTAATTATCTAACCCAGAGTATAATTTATTGGTGACCTGGCCTTTGAGCCTTAGTTTTCATTTATAACTTATTAAGATTTTTTGTTGCTGTGACAAATAAATGAGAAAAAAAAAAAAAAAACTTAAAGGTAGGAGTTTTTGCTTTGTTGCACAGTCTGAGTGTGTAGTCCATGTTCTCTGGACTCTGTGTTTCTAGGCCTGTAGTCAGGCAGTACATAATGGTAAAAAGGGCATCTAGCAGAGGCTGCTCAACTCATGGAGAATAGGAAGCAGGGAGGAAAGGGACTAGGGACTGAAAATAGCTTTCAGAGCCCTTTTCTCAACTTCCTCTAACCAGCCAGGTTCCACCTCTTACAGTTTTCACCACCTCCCAAACAAAATAGCATCATCACCAGCTGGGTACCAAGCATTCAACACATGGGGGACATGTCATATTCTGATCATAGCAAAATGATACTCATCCATTGATATCACCTGGCCGAGAGATAGATAAATGTCTGGACCTGATTGCTTTCTATGAAGGAAGCATGCTAAGGGTGAAACAACAGAAGAGCTCTGAGGTGGAATGAGCAATAAATGTAACTGAGACCATAGTAAATGTTGGATCAAGGGGTTTTTTAGAGTCAGTGAGATTTAAGTTATTATTGAAGCATAATATAAATTTAGTTTTTATGTTGCAGACATGAAAGATTTCAGTGAATTAGAAGATTTCAGTTTTATAAATAAATTAGAGGATATATATTAGAACCATGTATTTTCATCAGAGATGGGAGAGGGAGAACACTAGGTTTATATTTTTTAGTTCATAAAAGTGTTTATTTATTGCCAAAGCAGTAGATATCTGACATTTTTGAAAATGTACAAAAATGTATTTTGAGTATTTCTTAATGAAAAAGTGTTATTTTTATAATGGTATTATAGATTATATATAAACCACATCCAAGTAATTGTTTTTTGGGTTTTTTTTTCCTTAATAGCCCAAGAGTGGAGAAGTAACACCTAGCTGTCCACTTCTTTGTGAATTGTTATATGAGTCAGAATTTGACAGCCAACTATGGATTATTTTTGACCAGAACAAAAGACAAATGGGTTCAGGCGATGCCTATCCACATCAGGTATAAAACTGTTGTAAGAATTAATAAATCCCAGATTTCTTGCTAAGGTAAAGCACTCCAAAAGTTTTTAAAGATACTGTAATTTTACATTTAATCTTTTACAACCACAAGAAGCTCCTTAATGTAGTCATTTAGGAACAGACTTGACCACTTTACTGCCACTAGAGGATAAGAATGATGCTTTCAAACACTGGTCATCAAAGCTATGATAGAGAGGAGAAAATATTGGGCCTTGCACATGCTCAGCATGCACTCTGCCACCAAATTACACCCAACATAGCTATTTGCTGTAGTATTTCTCCCTCCTACACATTGCTTCCACCTGTCTAAAGGTACATGGCAAATCATGAGGTGTGTAAGTGCTGTGAAGTAATCCTGTGTCTGAAACGGATACAGGGGTTATTAAAGCCATGGCCAGGTGGCATCAGTTAATTCGTACTTTTCAGATTTGAAAATTACATGACTGAGCACTTCACTGCATGCCAGACACTATGCTTTGGACTGTCACCGAAAGAAACAAATCTCTTAATATATAACTTCTTAGAAGTTTCATCTTTGGTTGAAATTATAAATGAAGAAATGAGATATTTTTCCTCAGATGTTCATCATTTTTTTGCATGTAGCCATTTAAGGAGTGATACCATTTTTCCCCCTCAAGTTAGCCACTATATCTTCTCTACAGACTGAATTGTTGCAAGGCATTATGTGGGTTATTTTTTAGATCTCAGAAGACATTGCTCCTGCAGTATACAACCAGTTCCATGAGCATGTTAGCAAGACAGAGCTTAGTAGTTCTATATTCCTTCATCTCTACTGCCTCTCTGTTTGCCCTGCTTGTTGTAAAGGGGTGTAATACTTTAGTTATAATGTAAAGATTACTTGACATGGGGCTGGAGAGATGGGTCAATGGTTAAGAGCCCTGGCTGCTCTTGCAAAATATCCAGGTTCAGTTCCCAACACCCACATGGTGGCCGATAGCCATTTATAACTCCAGTTCCATGGGATCTGACGTCCTCTTCTAATCTCAGCAGGCATTGCATGAGACAGGTGCACTTACATGCAGGCAATACACTCCTACACATAAAAATAATATAATTTAAAAAAAAAAAAAAAAAAAGACTACTAGACACATGAACATACAAAAACTGAATGTGGTTGACTTTTTGACTACTTCACGTCTCTGACAACCCAGGAACAAAAACACCATTGCTTTTATTAGTTTTGTGTAAATATTGGTAATATAAGAGTATGTGAATATCTTGTTGTAAAAAGAATGAGAACTAGGTGTCAGACCTAAGTTAAGCTCCTTTGCTCTTTACTCTCTAGGACTCTGGGCAAGCCACTTGATATCCTTGATCTTGTCTACTCAGTAGTACCTTAAGCATTTTGGGTGTACATGCATGCATATGCAGTGGCTTCTTCTATGCCTCACACCTCATAAACACTTTGTTAATGGAACTGTTTCTCCTAACCTTACTGTCGTTTTAGTTTATTAGACTAAATTTACTTTTCCCAAATTTTGTTTTTTTCTTTTTTAGTATTCTTTGAAATTGGAGAAAGGAGATTATACAATTCGACTACAGATTCGTCATGAGCAAATCAGTGATTTGGATCGTCTTAAAGATCTCCCGTTTATTGTTTCTCATAGGTTGTCTAATACCTTGAGCTTAGATATTCATGAAAATCATAGCCTTGCACTTCTAGGCAAGAAGAAATCAAGCAATTTGACATTGCCACCAAAATATAACCAGCCATTCTTTGTTACTTCTTTACCGGATGATAAGTAAGTGATGACACTGCTGATATTGAATGACTGTCCTCTGTCTTACACATTGTGATCTTTCTAATGTTGTTCATTAGTAGGGCCAAATTTATGATTTGTTATTTTAGTCTGAATTCTTGATTTGATTTTTGAAACTTTAGGCATGGGAATTACTTCAGTATGAAATTATTTTGGCTTTCTTCTACATATCTTTGTGAAACTTTTTCTTTTGTTTTTTTTCTTTTTAACTTTCTCATTAGAATACCTAAGGGAGCAGGACCTGGATGCTACCTTGCAGGATCCTTAACATTGTCAAAGACTGAACTTGGAAAGAAAGCTGTAAGTGTTGGTTATTTTACTAATAACTAATTTATTAATTATTGTACCTATTTAAGATTTCTGTTTCTTTGAATAAAAATAGAAACTGATTCTTTGAAAGTACCTATTTAAAATTTTCAATTTCTTTGAAGACTGGCTTTAACTCCACATTTTCAGAATGGCTAAAAGACACCCAGGGTGGGGAGAGTTTGTTTTTGTTTTTCTTGAGCTATCAGTGAAAATGAATTAATAATTGGTCGTCTTTTTAAATGAATCAAAAAAAATTTTTGTGTTCTTTTCCACAAACCCATAATTCATGCCCTGAACCTATTCTGCCTCAGTGGCAGATATACTTGAGCTTCTTATGAAACATATAGATCCAGGTCATAATTGACTGGAGTAACTAGGATGTATAAAAATACAGCATGCCCCAGAATTTTGACCAGCATATTGTAGATATTGGAATAAATCAGATCCTCTTTGATGTTTCTGAAAACCAATCAGAATGGTTTTTGCTAATGAATGTTGCTTTTCCACATTTGTGAAGACTTTCTCTTGTTGGATCTTGCATAATTATGTGGCTAAATGAAGGTGTTTCTTTTGGTATTGCCTTTTATAGTTTTAAAATGATACTTTTTGTTTCTGATTTAGAGATTAATGTTACAACATTATAGGTACCTTGTTTCAGTTTTTTCCATCAGTGTTTTCATTACAAATTGTTAAAAAAGAATGTTGTTTACATAATTTGTCACCATTTATCTTAGGTTATTTTAGTGCAATGCCAGTAAAAGTTGTCATTCTTACAGCCTTGCATTTCTCATTTACCTTAGTTCATACAAAGCTAAGGAAGTTTGATTACCTAATGCTGGAATCTATAAATGCTGTTGTCAGAATGAATTCATCTCATACGTCTTGAAAATTATTTTTATTCCTTGTCACTATTGAACTAAGGTCATATATTAACTGACATTTCATGGGAATTTTGTCCTTAGAAAAAGTTGCTTCTTAACATGCTTGGGTTTCATTTCAGATCATATTCCTTATTAGATACATACTTTAGTGTAATTGGAAACAAATCAATAGCTGATACTGCAGTTCATACATGAGCTAATTTAAGAAATCCTCGTAGTCTTTTTTTTGTAGGTTCCCGTACATAGCTGCTTCACCTGTGAAGCTGCAACTGAGTTTTTCACCCAAATGATAGATAATTCTCAGAAGTCCACTTTCATGAAAAAGTATAACAGAAAAGAATTATTGACAAGTATGCTTGTAACAATTCAGAAATAGTTCTTCCTGACTGTACTGTTAGAGGCAATTGTGAAATTATAAATGTGTGGGATTAACTATAGTTAGAAAGGTAGCTTATAAGAAGACAGCAATAGCCTGTAAGCTATGAGTTATTATATTTTCCATTGGATTGTTTATTTAAACTTTCCTCAGAAATTCTACACTTCTTATGGGTTTTTTGGTAGTTGGAAAGATAATTTTACTTCATTTTGACTTTCACATTAATAACCCTATTAGGTATTGCTTTTTATAAGAAGGCATAGGCTGTGTGATGGTCATAACATCCTTTAAAATCAAAACTCTGCAGACTGTCAGCTAAATTTAAATGTTTTTTAAAATGTTTTCATGCTAATGGAGTTTGATCACTAAATATTTTTAATAAAAAGCTGAAAAATCATTTTGCCTTAAAATAGCATATTTGAGTGCATTTTTATTAAAAACTGAAGTGGCAGTGCTGTGTTCCTCAAAAGCATGCCATTTAGACCCAAAGCTAACCCTTGTAAGTACTGTGACGCATACAGATGGAATGTTAAGTTGGAAGAAAGTTAGACAGGGGTGGTATCTCCATCCTGTGTAGATTATGCATGTTTTCTTACAGAATGTCCTTCTAACTCCCAGGGGCAGTCTGCAGCAAAACGACAAGGAAAATTTAAAAAGGTACTGATTGCCAGTTCTTAAAAACAATGTCTTAAAGCCTTACTTACATAGTAATTAAACTTTTTTTCTGTCACTATTATAAATCTATTACAAAAAAATCTTTCCCATAGTTTCCTTTCTATGCATTCTGCAGTATAGTTCTCTTAGTTAATACCTACACACTGCCTTTCTGAAAGGTTTTTTTTCAACTATAAATTATTGGGAAACCCTATTTTTCCAGTGGTATAGTTTTTAATGGCTACTCATTTCTTGGTACAGATAAGATATCAAATTAAAAAGGTTGAAATTTTGCATTATCTGAAGCCATAAAAAGGCGAATGTGATAATTTAGCAATGAAAGACAGAGTAATTAGTCATTTTTAAAATCTAAGGCCAGTAGGACGATTCAGTGGGTAAAGGCACTTGTTGCCAAACCTGACTATCTGAGTTCAATCCCCAGGATTCATATAGTGAAAGGAGAGAACAAACTCCCACAAGTTGCCCCCGACCTCCACATAGGTGCCATAGCACTTGCCTGTTGAAACATATACACATATACACCAAAAAACACTAAATAAATAAATGTAGACAAATTTACAATGTAAAAGTTTTAAGTTAGATTATATGATTAATAAACTACTCACTGCTCTTGCATCTGTCTTAGCTATGGGAGGGCAGAGACAAAAAAGAAAAATCAGATAGCAAGAACTTAAATAAGAACTGCTGACTGGAAGTTGAAGTCCAAACTAAATGGACACACATTTAAAACCCTACAGGGGTGTACTTGATTCCCCTTAACATATGCAGTTGTCTGTATTGACTGCTGAGAGCCACCTTTAAGTTGATGAAATTTCTACTTCAAGAACATTGTAGAGTAAGAGACATTTGATGAAGAACCACTTAGCATTTCAGTGGTTTCTTCATCAAGTATTGCAGTGAGAGAGTCGGTTGTGTTTTAAGGTATAAAAAAATGATAACTGTATGTTTCTTAATGTGTAGTGATATGGAACTGGGGACCACCATTTTATAGTAGGTAAAATTCCTTTAATAAAATATCTGCCAAAATGTCCTTATTATATAATGATAAACCTTTTGTTCAATCACAATCAGGAAGAATCATATTCTAGTTAAAGGACTAAAGACCAGTATTTCTCAACTGGATGTTCTGATCCATTTGAGGACCATGTAAATTCATTTAATGGATCATAACCCAGACTTTTAAAAATCATATTTTATGTATTGATATTTGCCTTTTTCAGTTGCCATGAAGATAGTTGGAAAAGATTTTCCAGGAACTCACTAAAAATAGGAAGCATATATCAACAAGGTCATAGGCATTGTTTTTATTACACTTGTATACTTGGATTGGCCTTTTGGGTTTTGTTTGGATTAGGTTGTGTAAGGTATGATAGATAGTACTGAAAATGAAATTATTATTACTTGATGATTAATAAAGTTTTATATAATGAACTTGGAACCTAGTTACTTCTGTCAATTCTTTGGTATCGGTGCAAGTACACAGTAAAACTCTTGTTTAAAACAAGACAGGCTGACATGGCATGGTGCCAAACACCTTTAATCCCAGCATTCAGGAGGCAGAAGCAGGCAGATCCCTATTAGTTCAAGGCCAGCTGGGGCTACAGGGAGACCCTGTCTCAAAAAGACCAAAAAATAAACAAAAAAAACATAGGATGAGGCTGGAGAGATGATTCAGCAATTAAGAACACTGGCGGTTCTTGCAGAAGACCGCCAGTTTGAATCTCAGCACCCACATGGCAGCTAACAACCATCCATATCTCCAGTTCCAAGGGATCCAATGCCCTCATGCAGGCATAACACTCATACACATAAAATAAAAATAAATGAAAACTAAAGCACAAGATAGGCAAATAACAAATATGTACACATATGTGAAAGAATTTAGTTATTTATCATAAATGGCATTCAAATGATGTTAATCTTTAAAATATTTTAGCTTGTATAAAGCTTTAAATTTTTTAATTTATAGTTATTAATAATTAAGCACTAAAGAAATTATACTTGCTTTGTTTGGTCTTGGGTTTTGTTTTGGCAGGGGCAGGTTTTGGTATTTTTAAGACGGGTCTCCCTGTATCCGCAGCTGGCCTGGAACTCACTACGTAGACCAGGCTAGCCTCGAATTCATAGTGATCCATCTGTCTCTGCTTCCCAAGTGTTGGAATTAAAGGCAAGCACCACCACAGCGGACATTGGTTCTTTTTTATTTTGTTTTGTTTTGTTTTGAGCCAAGATCTCCATGTAGCCCCGCCTGGAACTTGCTATATAGACCAGGCTCGCCTTCATCTCAGAGGTCCACCTGCTTCCTGAGTGCTGGGATTAAGGGCATGTACTACCATGCCCTGCTAGAAATTATGCTTTTTGAACCAGAATCTAAATGATAATGTGTTGTGCTGTTCACTGGTTTGGCAGGTGAGATAAGCTTCTGAAAAATATTTTTCAATTTGAACATTTGAAATACTTTATGAATACCTTGGAAAGTTTGAGGTTTTTTTTTTTTTTTTCAACTAAATATCTCCTATTGAGAACTCTTTGTAGCTTTTCTACTTTGAAGATTCTTGTTCACTGTCCTTTTTAAACTATAATCAAGATTACTTGAGATTTAAAATATAAAATCATTGCTATTAAGTTAGTCCTGCATTAAGCCCTTGAAAAGTGAGTTGAAAACAATACTTATGAAAAAAAGAATGTATGATCATAGTGACACAAATTAAAACACCATTTCTTAATTAGGATTTTAAAGTACCACATAATTTTGACAATAAAAATTCTTGTCGTGAAATCTTTTATTGGGTTTTACTGACATTTATAATTGTACTGATTATAAGGCCTTGATTCCCACCCCCCAGATCATAAATTTTTCTTCTCTTAATGATAGCTTAAGCTTGCTATAATAGGATTTCTTATTTGTATAGGTGTTGGTTAATTGTTATAAATTAATGAATTGTTCATTAAATTCTATTTTCTATCTTCTGTACCAAAACAATGATAGCAAGTACCTTTATATCATTGAAATTGAGAGGAGAAATTGCCTTACTCGTTTCCTGCCTCAAAGTGTTTGCTTTTTCCTAGCCTAGGAAACTAAAAGGAAAGCACATACCTCTTAGAATGAATAGAGACTCCCAGGCAAGTGGCCATCACAGTCTGAAATGCACTGGATGAAGAACTTGATTCCAAAGGCACTATAACCATATTTACATAATGTAAATATTGAAGGACATGTATATTTACTTCTTAGATGGCTTGTGCTAAACACATGACACTGAAGCAGTCTATTTTCATAAGAAGTTGATGCTAGGTTTGGGGGTTGAGATTTTCCAAACACCTTTTACTTGCTCAGGACAGTACCACCCAGGAAAGTAACCCTCAAGCAGTAGAGAAGAAAGCTGAGCTTAGTGGTACAGGTCCCTGATCTGCCCATTAACAGATGGTGGTAGTGTAGGGGTAGAGGGCACTGAGGCAAAAGGATGAATGCAAGGCCAGCCTGGCTTACATTGCAAGATCCCTATCTCAAAAATTAAAATGTAGAGGTATTGGGGGAGAGGATGGATAGCGACAAGGTCCTGAAAGAGCTAGGCCACAGTAGATGATTCTTCTCCCAATCTTAGGTCTCACCAGAGCCCTAGTCTATGAGGTCCGGCTGTTTGACCTCAGAGAGTACAGTACAAGGCTCCTGGGGGATTTCTGTGGCTTTCTTACATCAGAGTGTTTTCTATATTTTAAATGAGTCATGAGGAGATAGTGGTTATTATTTTGTGTTGTATAATACTAGAGCTACAGTAATAATTCTTTGTATACTGCTGGATCACTGTATACCCCAAATTTGAGTTTCAGGGCATTGTTAAAATGGACATGTTTACCTAGGAGTTTTTGCTACTTGGGGGAGTAGTTTTGTAATAATTTTCACTCATGTTTTTCTTACGTACTGTGCTGAGGGCAGTATATGTCTTTTTGGTAACATTGTTATAATGTTAGAAACTTCATTAATATAAGATTTTATTTTAGCAGCATCTTAGTATAAGCCTGAAAATGTAATTGGAGAAGCTTGCTTAGTAAATAATGATTTGATTAAGGACAACCAGTTTGTTCCCAGAAACTAAGTCTAGTGTATGGTTACGTTTCCCAAGCAGTGTATTTATTTTTATAGGAACGATTTGTATGCTATAGGATCAATGCAATTAAGCTACATTTCTCTGCTATCATCAAAGCAGAACTTTCTCAGGCTTATTTCCCTATTTTCACTTTCTTCCTTAATCTCTGTCCAAGGACACTACTCTTGCCAATGGGGATCAGCAGGCTGCTTGCAACCAGATTTTCTGGTCACTTTCTTTGAGGCAGTACCATCTTCCCCATTGCTTACCTCTCTGTACCATCAGCAAATAATCACAGCATTCTTTAATATTAATATTATTATTATATATTTAGTGTAGGGGAATGATGAGTATGCCATAGTGTGTGTGTGTGTGTGTGTGTGTGTGTGTGTGTGTGTGTGTGAGAGAGAGAGAGAGAGAGAGAGAGAGAGAGAGAGAGAGAGAGAGAGAGAGAGGAAATTTGCAGGAGTCAGTTCTTTCTTTCCACCACATGGGCTCTGGAGATCAAACTCAGGCCATCACGCTCAGCAACAAGCATCTTTACCATCAGCCATCTCACCAGCCCCATTCTTCATGGTTTCATCAAGGCTTCTAAAACCTCAGATTCCTTTTACTTTCTGTCTGTCTTAGAACATCTTTGAGCAAACAGGATTACTGGATCTGTTTTCTTCCCATTTCTACCCCTGTTGGTCTTAATCATTGCTGTGACTTTAAGCATCATCATCAAGCATTAATTGGTTCTACTTTCAAAGAATATCTCAAATCTATTCATTTTCTTGTTTTCACAGCCTACTAAGTAGTCACACACAATGTAGAAATTCCTAGGTTTGTTCCCTAACTTGTTTTCCCACTTCTACTCTTTCCTTTTATTACCTGTTCTCTAAATATTATCAAGAGTTACTGAGGGACGTGGTGTCTCATGCCTTTAATCGCAGCATTCAAGAGCCAAAGGCAGACAGATCTCTGAGATAGAGGCCAGCCTGGTCTACATAGTAAGTTTTAGCAAGCTGGGGCTACGGGAGGTCCTGTTTTTTAAAAATAGTTACTAAAATACAAACCCCAAATTTTAATCCATACAAGATTAAGTATGAAAAAGCCAAAGTATTGAATCAGTACCTTAGCTAAAACACTTTTGGTAGGCTTCTTTGTATACGGAAGATAGGAGCTATATTTTTACTGTACTCCAAGCCCTGTTCACTCTGGCTGTAACCTACTCTCAGTACATACAGCTGTGTTTGCCATATACTGGGTTCAGGTCTTTATACTTTTGTACTTCAAACACTAAAATGATTGGGCTGCTTTTTGTTTCATTTGGGTCATTTAGGTTCCTTTAAATTCTTCCACATTTGTCATTTAGGTTCACTGGCCTTCCCATAACCACTTTGTTTGCATGATTCCCCTCCTTACCTAACAGTCACTATTTTATTCTGTTTTATTTTCCTTGTGTCATATGTCACTATCAGAAATTATTTACCTGTGTATTTATTGTCTGACTAACCCATGTAGAATGTGTGTTTTAAGTGCAGAAAAAAGCCTTGACTGTTCTGTCCTCTTGTTAGAACAAAAAAGATCTTTTCTTTTTTCAGTTTTAACCTATTTACTCCTCTGTTCAGATTTAAATGTGAAAGGATGGTGTACTTTTGTCCTTACTCTGTCATGTGAAACTAAGAATACCAAAGACATGCGTGGAGAAAAGTTATCTCCTGTATTTTAAAGTTGCTGGTAGGAGCTTCAGTATTTTTAAAGTTTGGGAGAACCCTACAGTGGTTGCAGATTAGCATTTCTTCCTTAGAATCTGAGATATGGTGTAATACAACTCAGGCACAACCCACCTTATGAGATTCTGAACTGCTGAAAATGATTTTGAAGTATGTAAAGTTAAGCATGTTAATCTAAGGATCTCTTTCCATCTTCCTAGGATGTAATCCCTGTTCATTACTACCTAATACCTCCACCAACAAAGACTAAGAATGGCAGCAAAGATAAAGAAAAAGATTCAGAAAAAGAAAAAGATTTAAAAGAAGAGTTTACTGAAGCACTACGGGACCTTAAAATTCAGTGGATGACAAAGTAGGTTTTTCAGTGGATTCTAATCCTCTGAATTTTTACTCTTATTTTCCCAACTATAATAATTTTGTGTGTATGTATATGGACTGTATTCAGAATTGTTAAATGGATTATAGGGTTGCAGGCTTTTAATTTTTTTTATGATTATATTGTGTGATAAGAAACCTAAAAATTTTAATTTGCTCCTGCAGAGAACTTTATTGGAGGACATAAAAAAGAAAAATAGCTTTTCTTCCTTCAGAGATGATCATTGCCTTCCTGTCATTTTTGCTGTCAGTGTTTGTGCATGTAGCTGTGGGGGTTAGGGGGACCGTGGAGCCTTTTCTTCCAGTTAGTTTGGGTGTTGAGCATTTCCTGTGTCATTGAATAATTCTTTACATTTCCATTTTTAGTGACTGTATCATTTATGATCCTGTGTATGCAATGTAATATATTTAGCACTTTATCTAGAAGATATGTTTATAGTTTTTCTCTATAATAATATAATGGACCTTCTTATGTACAGTTGGAATTTTTTGTTGTTGTTGGTTGGTTTTGTTTGTTTTGGAGACAGTGTCTTATTTGTATCTCTGGCTAGCCTTGAATTCTAGTTATGCAAGGATGACTTTCAACTACTAATCTCCTGCCTCTAGCTCCCAAAGGCTGAAATTACGGTCATGCACCAGCATACCAGGCCTAATGCAAATATTTTTAAAAATTCTGTCAGATAGCAATAACTTAATTGTTAATTTAGATGTCTTTAAAAAGTGTCTTAATATGTTTTCCAATTTGCTTTCTAGTTCAAATATAAAATGACTTCACCCAGGTGGGATACGAAAAGCTACTATTGCTAAAAGTTGAGCTTTTAAAATAATAGCTATTGTTTATAAAAGTGCTCCTTTCTCCATTCCTCATTAGACATTAAATTTTTATTTGCTTAAACTTTTTAACATGAAAAAATATTATTTTCTATACTTACAACTTATTTACCCAGCACATTTGGCTTTTAACTTCCTTTTACACAGTAGAACTTTATTTTGTGTGGTCAAATCAGTTGCTTTTTTTTTCTCTTTTTTTTTCATGCAGTGGTTCCTTTCACTCCTGGATTTCTGTGGGAGTATGCTTTAGCACAGACTATGCATCCTTAGAAGGAGCAGAAGTGTACAGTACGAAAATAATTCCCAAGGATAAAGCTGTTACGGTGTCAGTCCATAGTCACATATACTGTCCCGTTTAAGATTAGGGTGTAGCTCACCAGAAGTCAAAGTACTAGGTTAGCCTTTGGCTGATTTAGAATGTTATAAGTAGCTGACAATACAATGTAAGATTCTTTCCAATTGAAAATGCAAAGGTTAGCTTCTGGTATGAGTAAGAAGCCCCGTGATTCTAGTCTCCAGTAAAACTAGTAAAAATTATTGTTGAAACAAAACCTTCCAAACCTCTTAAACTGGTTCTAAAGGCAAACCACAAATGGAGATGATTCTATTCAGAAATATGTTTAAAATTTGATGAGTGGGCGAAACAGCTCAGTCAGTAAAGTAAATGCTTACACCATAAGCAGGAGAACCTGAATTCAGTCTCTAGCCTAGCACCCACATAAAAAAGCTCGGTATCGTGGCACTTCCTTGTAATCCCAGCACTGGGGAGCTGGAGACCGGCAGGTCTGTGGCACTTAACCAGCCAGCCTAGCCTAGCCTAATCAGCAAGCTCCAAATTCAGTGATGAATCATATTTCAAAAACAAAGTAGATAGTGCCTGAGGAATGACACACAGGTTAAGGTCTGACCTCTGCACATATATGCACACATGTGCACTCAAACAAAAATTTAAAAAGAAAACTGAAAGTATTGTTACAACATTTAATCGAAGACTGCTGTCTCCTTCGTCCCAAATCTTAAGACTGGTACTGCCAAGGTGGTACTCTGAGAGATGGAGTCCAGCCTGATCTACATAGTGAGTTCTAAGTGGATTGGGGAAAGGGAGACCCTGTCAAAAAAAAAATTTTGTAAATAAATAAAATGAATTAAATTGAAAAGAACAAAAAACAAAAAAAGACTGGTATCACCAAGAGCACAGTATTCCTGTACTCCACCTTCCAGTAAGAGGACGTGATTAAACCATTCCTCATCCTGCCCATCTTCCTATTGCTGGGGGCTTATTTTCACCTGACTGTCATCGTGAAGTGGGGACTCCCTTTTCCTGACAATTACCCACTTGGGATGCACAATAGTGAGAACATTTGGAGTCCAGGGCTCCGGAAGCTATGCATCCACACCTGGCCAGGCAAGTCAAGAAGGCCTCATGTGCCTTCCCTCCATCAAGAGTGCTCAACCCTGAAAGTAGGGGTGTCAGACAAAAGCAGACTGTTCTGCCTTCTGCCCCAGAGCCCAGACTTAAAGATTCTGTTGGTGGCACAGAGGGAAGTCTTTAAAAATGACAGCTTCTAATTTCTTCCTGAAAGAACTGACTTCATTTGCACCAGAAAATCTAGAAATTCAAATTTAAGGACTCTAACAAACAGTGCTGAAAAACAAATGAGTTAAAAGTAACAGTATCAAAGAAGTGTGTGTTCCCAAGAATATACCAAAGTACTTGTGATGCTATACTAGAAGAGTGAGTATTAGCTGAGAAAATACCTAAAGAAATAATGGCTGAAAATGTTACATCTGTATTGAAAAACTAATATATCCAGGTTGCTCGGTGAGCTCCAAACAAAGTAAATTGAAAGAAATACTCAAACTGAACTATCAACTGTGCACCATATAGCATTTCAATCAACAAGACTGTATAAACAACAGTGATCCCATAAGATTAAAATGGACCTGAAAAATTCCTATTGCCAAATGATGTTACAGTTCCCATAATATTGTCCCAGTGTTTATGGTGATGCTGGTATAAATCTACAGTACTACTGGGCATGAAAGCATAGCCCATACAGTTATGTGTACTTGATAACGATGTGTTATTTCATAATGATAGCAGATGAGCAAGTTACTGGTTTATGTATATATCTATACTTCTCATTTTAGAGAGTGCATCTACTGTTTCCTGTAACATAGGTATCAGCCTCATACATTTCATCTTTATCATGTATCTTGATTCCCTCCAGAGGCCAGCCACATTGATACTTTCTAGGTTGGTGTATGTCCACACAATGATGAATTCTCTTTAAAAATTTCTCAGAAAGTATTTGCATCACTAATCCATCTGTGATTGTTTTCTGATAAAAATGTTGAAGATCAAAAAGAAAATCTTGAAAGCAGTATGATAACTGTACAATGGTACCTGTATAAACAGCTTGAGTTCTGAACAGAAACAATAGAGACCAAAAAGCTGTGATATAATATAGTCAGAGTAGTCATAAAACTTAACTAGTAGCCCTATATACAGCTCAGTTGAAGTACTGAAGGAATTACAGTTCAGTTATACAAAGGCAAATGGCCCAGTTTTTCAAATTGCCCAGCAATTTCACTCCCAAATAAAAATCTGTGTGGACATAGAAATTTGTACATGAAAGATTTGGGGGAGCATTGTTCATAATGGCCAAAAGGTATAAATAACCCAAATATTCATCAGCTGTTAAATGATAAAAACAAATGTTGTATATCCATCCATACATGACTAGGGTATTCAGACATAAAAAAAGGACAGGTATATGTTACAACTTTAAAATTATGTGTTAAGGAGCTGGAGAGATGGCTCAGTGATTAAGAGCACTGACTACTCTTGGAGAGGACCCAGGTTCAGTTCCCACACCCACATGGTGGCTATGAACCGTCCTTAACTGCAGTTTCAGGGGAATCTGAGACCCTCTTCTGACCTCTGCGGCACACAGGTGCACTCACATACATGCAGGCAATACACTCATACATATAAAATAAAAATAATAAATGAAATTTTAAAAGTGTTAAGTGAAAGTAGCCAGTCACAAACTTTTACATGATTCTGTTCATAGTAAAATATCCAGAACTGGGTAATCAATAGTGACAAAAGTAGATTAGTGGTTACTTAGGGTTAGTAGTGATAGAGCTGCTGGAGAAGATTTGATAACTAGAGGGTTTAGGAGTTTTAGGGTTTTTTTTGGTTTTTTTTTGTTTTTTTTTTTTTTTTTGGTCTTTTTGAGACAGGGTCTCCCTGTAGCCCCAGCTGTCCTGGAACTCACTATGTAGACCAGGCTGGCCTCGAACTCACAGAGATCCGCCTGCCTCTGCCTCCCGAGTGCTGGGATTAAAGGCATGCGCCACCACGCCCGGCTAGGAGTTTTAGTTTTATTGTAATGAAAATGTTTTAAAAGTTGGCTTGTTACAGATATATATATATATATACACACAAATATTAATACTCTAAATCCATTGAAATATCCACTTAAGATACGTATGCAAACAAAAAATCAATTTAAAAAAAAGTGAAATTGAAATTGAGCCATCTCCGCCAGCCCATGTTGCTGCTTATTTTTACCTAAATGTTTTGTAGGACTCTTAATTGGAATAATTTTCAGTTTTTCTTGGTGTTCTGGGTTCCTACAAATAGTCATAATCTTTATTAATGATTATACTTTCATTTAAAATTGGTGCTTATTTTAATAACTAGAACTTTGAAGCAATAATTTCTTTTGAACAGACATTTTCCATTTAATGAAAATCACTAATGCTTCTCTTCTATATACACAGGCTGGATTCTAGTGACATTTACAATGAACTGAAAGAAACATATCCTGCTTACCTTCCTCTGTATGTTGCACGGCTTCATCAATTGGATGCTGAAAAGGTTGAACATACTCAATTTTTAATAACTCTAACTTTGTTTATAATAGATGATGCTTGTATTTTGAATAAAAAGTGTATCCTTATCTGTCTCCTCTTCCTGCCTACTGAAAATATATCTCCTCTAATTTAATATTTCACTAAGATAATTGTAGGATCTGGCTGCTATTATGAGTTTAGTAGTCATAATATACGTTTAGTGATAGCATGAGTACAGTACTTGCTTAGTTAGTAAAAATCTTAATAAAGGTAAAAGACCCATTTTTGACCTTAAAGCTAAAGAGCAAATGGTCCTGGACAGTTGGAAATCTTAAATACCTTTAGTGAAGGAATTCCTGCTTTATATCAATGTCATTAGTAATTCCAGATTGTTTAACATGGGCCAGCTGCCATTACTGATAATGGCAGTACGAGTATGTCAACCATGATCACTTAAGAATCATGAAGGTTTGGAGTGAACTAGAATCATATTTAAAGGAGCCCTCTCTCACACAGTTTGACAAAAGACAAACCAAGTACTAATAACACCATGGTAATTGTGTAGTTAGACTTGAAATCTCTTGGGTTTTAGTGAGCCAGGTTTTGTTTTCCTTTGTTTGTTAATCTCTGCTTTTTCATGTGGCATGGACTAACAGGTTCACAGCTCTGAAATCTTAGTGATGGGCAAGAAAGGAATTTATGTTTAAAAACCCCACATTTTTGTAAACTTTTATATTTTATTTTCATTTTTGGGCTATAGAATGTGAGTTAGGTATTTTCACATCTGGGCCCAAGTTTTCCAGAGATACTGGCAGTTAGAAATTCAAATAAGAAGATAGCATGGATCTTGGGGCTACAAAGACGTGACACAGTGCCCTCACACTCTGCTTCCCTGTACTGATTGATACACTCATGTTTTTCTCCTATTTTTTTTTTTTTTCCAGGAGCGAATGAAAAGACTGAATGAAATTGTTGAAGCTGCAAATGCTGTCATTTCTCACATCGATCAGACTACCCTAGCAGTTTATATTGCAATGAAGACTGACCCTAGGCCTGATGCAGCTACTATAAAAAAGTACCTAACCAGTAAATAATCTTTCTTGCATCTCATTTCTTAGTTACTTGTTTAAAAATTAGGGAGTAATGCTCTTCAGGATTTTTTTTTACTGGTGTTTGCTACATACTTATGATCAGGATTGACAGTATTTCCAACTCAGAAATTTGCAGTAATTTTTCTTCAGTCCTTTAAGACTCAGCCCAAGAAAATAGTTTGGCTTCCCCACTACTAGGTGCTGTCCAGGTGGAAGAATCTGAGAGGTTAAGATCAAGCAGTGCAGGCACATGGAGCTTTATGTGAGTGAACCTCCAACTTAGGTAGGGAAGATGACACCTTAAAATTGTTTTTATTATTTACTGACCAGTAGCATGAAAAACATAAAATTTCATGAAATAAATAACAAAATTAGGTTAAACTAGCCAGGTCTTGCGGTACATGCCTTTAATCCCAGGAGGCAGAGGCAGGCAGATCGCTTGAGTTCAAGGCCAGCAGGGTCTACACTAACTTGTTCCAGGACAGCCAGGGCTACATAGTGAGACTATGTCTCAAAAAAAAAAAAAATGTTACCTGACAACTTTAGTTTTACATAGGTCATTTTGCATTGATACTGGGGAGAAGAGCAGAGGAGAATTTCTAATTTAGCCTTTGTAAAACCTGGTGCTCTGTTTGCACAGAGGCTCTTCAGTGACTAGTGTGATTCACTCACTTTTACCATACTGTGAAATTCTGTCATCACCCTGTGGTAACTTTTATCAGTTTTTCCTCTATCATTTGGGGTCATTAACTTGCAAGATTATAAATATCCTTATTATTTTGTAGTTAAAGCTAGTAAGCCAGAACTATTTGAACTACCTAAAAGAAGTATAATTTTCCTCAAAAATTCCAGCTCTCAGTATGTATTTCTGCACAAAAATACTTGGATTCAAACTGCTAGAACTCTTGGCATTTCATTCATATTTATACTACAGGGACCTATGACTCTTCTGAACTGTTATTTCAAATGGAATAATTTTTTTGATAGGTTTGGTTATTCATGGTTAGTACCCTTTTATATTTTCCAGTGGAACAATTTTCAAAACATTGACATTTGGCCACTTGTAATTTTAGTAATACTAAAAAATCTAGGTGCCATTTGCTAAATGATGATATGTACAGGGTATTATGGAGCACTTTAAGTGCATGGTTCCGTTTATATTAGCCTTTCAGATAAGGTGAAATAGACACATTTCTGCCCCCACTCTTTAGAAGAGAGGAAAGTGAAGCTTACAAGGATGAATGGCTTGGTTCCCATGCTGTGCTGGGAAGTGGAAAAGCTAGCATTCCCACCAGGGTGTACTTCCAAAGCCTGTGCTCTTTCTTTTCTCCTTACCGTTCTTCCCCCTTCTTGAAGAATCAGGAGCTCCAGCTCCTTGCTTATACCCAGGCGTGTTGCTTTCTTCCCTGCCTCCATAAGGGTCAGCAGACTCCCTTCTCCAGGGCTGGCCTTCCTGATTAAACACTACTACTTCTTGCTCTCTATCCTTTATAACTTCACTCCAGTGACAAAACAGGACCTTTCCTTACCTTCCACCTCTTCCCGTACGGCCTTTGGCATGTTCTGACATCGGCTTCTTGCCTCAGGAACATCCCTGGTTGATGCCAGATGAGTTTTCATTGCAATTCTGCTTCCTTAAAGCCAGTCAGTAAGTATTCATTCTGTTTGTTACAAGAGAAGCCTGACAAGGATCATGTTGTAGTGTCTTCCCAACCTTAGAAAACCTTCACTGTCCCTATGCCTTCTAAAATTTGTTACTCCACACAGTTTATAAAATAGTAGAATCTCCTCAAACTCAGGTGTGTATGAAATAACATCACTTATTTTGAGATTTTGGTATTAAAAGCCATTATCATTCCTAGTATTTTGGCCTGTGCCCTCTAAATTTTATCATACACAGAAGAAACAACCCTGGATTAAAGTGAGCTAGGAATGTATTGACTTTTTTTTTTTTCTCACTTAATTGTTTCTACCCTTTGAAAAATTCCAGATACTGACTTTTAATAAAGGCTATCAGTAATAATGGAATGAGTTACTAGCTATGAAGAATATAGCCTTAGAGACTTTGAAATAACTAGGATAAATCTATAAAAGACACCAAAAATTTTGTTTTAGAAACAGAAATGTTCAAAGTTAAGCTGGTTGAAAGCCTACAGGAAGGAGACCTCACTTTATTCTGAATAGGGGAAGCCACATGGTTTAACAAGGTATTCAGCCTGAACAGGTCGGTACTAAGGTTTAAAAGAAAGGAACAGAATATTTCGAGATACATGAGGTTTAGATTATTACATCAGAGAATACTAAAACTTTCAGAAAAGAATCTTGCAAGAAAATTTAATCCATTCCTAGCAAGTATAGAACACCTGTGTCAGCCCCAACTTCCTTCAGAATTCTGCATCATCTTAGCCCTTCCAGCATGGTGATAACACTGCCTAATCAATCCAGCCTGTTCCAAAACAGTTTTCCTTCACAAAGTGAGGACAGTAATAGTGTCTAGCTCCTAGAGTTTTGACGCAGAAATGAAGTGCCACTAAGAGGCTAGTACCAGGCCTCTGAGAGGTTAGCAAGAGGGACAGTGCAGTAAGTGAACAGGTAGGGAGATAACTCAGAAGGGAACTCCAGAATCTGTTTTTCGTAGTCTGAAGTAGCCAAGCAGTTCCCAGGCTCCTCCACAAAAAGAGGGAAAGTTGGTTCTTTAAAACTTGGGAAGTCTTGGACTAGAGAGATGGCTCAGCATTTAAGAGCATTTACTCTTGCAGAGGACCAAGGTTTCAGTTCCCAGCACCCACATGGTGGCTAACAACCATCCATAACTCTGGTTGCTGGGAATCCAGCATCCTCTTCTGGCTTTTGCAGGCACTGCACACACATAGTGAACGTAAGAAAGACATGGAGGCAGAATACTCGCACACATAAAAATAAGTAAAATGTTAAAAAATAAAAAATTTGGAATCTCTTGAAGACAGGATAAGCTCCAAGCCACCCTGAAGACCAAGCAGGGGAATGGGGGTGGGAGCGGGAAGAGGCTCTCTAGAGTTAGGTTAAATGGATTAGAAGTGAATTGAGAAGGACCTTCTTACTGGAGTGAGGAGTTTACTCTGAAAGACTTTTAAAATGCTCAAAACTGACCTTGAAAGAATCATATTTGTATTTTCACAAGATCTAGTGAGGGAGGCAGGCACTTGGCAGCAAATTAATGAGTCTTGCCAAGCAGATGGGGTGAGTGAAATGGCCTGTGGCCTGTCAAATTCTGCCTATATTTCATGTCAAGACCTAACTGTATGCTGGGCACAGGCCAACCAATAGACGACCCCGGTGAATACAGCTTTTGCCACAAGGGATATATAAGAAGTCACGTGAACGTGAGGGGCAGGGAGAGAATGTTATAAACCCCACAGCTTCATGGCTCAGGCTGGCAACTGAAAGTAGTTAAAATGCTAGGTGGGGCTATGGAGGATGAACATTCTAGAGTGGCTATGTAGAGTGCAGCTGCTTTACAGGTAGCCTGCTGACACCATAGGGCAAGCTGAACCTGGGTTTGTGATTGTTAGCAAATGGAGTCAGGTGGTGCAGAAATAGAAAGAAAACTTTATTATTCTTGGTAATAAACTAAGGCATCTTATGGGCATAGTTTTATCTCCTGCAGATAAGGTTGGCACTGCCCTTGGATGAACGAATCAAACGGCCTTGGAGCGAATGAGAACGTCCTGGTCTTAGGCAGTATTTTAGCAGTAGCATTAGTGTGCCTTCATTCTTCCAGCAAGCTGCCCAAGTTAATAGACTTCTAGTTTACAGAGCTAGTAGATGAGCCCTAGAGCCCCAAGTTCCTGGGCTGGTAACTGTTCCCTACCGATTCTTGCCAGTCCCAGCAGATTTCACATTACACATTTCACTTTGAGTCTTTCAGGGTCAGTCTGACTGTTAAACAAGTCATCCTATGGCTGACTACTTCATAGTCATTTTCTCAGCACTTTTAAACCTTTACTGTCTTCACACATATCTGATGTGAGTTGGACAGAATGCCTCAAATAAGCATTCAGTAACCTTTCTTGGGGTGCAGGTTATGAATGCTCAACAGTGATTGATTGTCTAGTCTATGCTAGGCATGATTCTAGGCACTTGCAAAATGCATTAGAAAGAACCAAAAATGCCTGTCCTGAACGGTCTAGTGACTGAGAGCACACTGTAGAATCAGACTGCTACACTTAGAATCTTACATTTGCCACTGTCTAACTGGAAGGCATGATCAAGTCTTAAATCTCTTTGTGCCTTTATTTCCTCCTTTGACTGTCTCATTCTTATAATTGGGGATTTGTTTGGTTTGCAGGAGGGGAGTTGTGGTTTTCATTTATTTTATGTTTGTGTGTGGAAGTGCAAATGCCACAGTGTATCTGTGGAAGTTAAAAGACAACTTGTGGAAGTCAGTTCTCTCCTTCACCATGAGAGTCCCAGGGATTGAACTCAGGTCATCAGGCTTTGTAGCAAGTGCCTTTACCCATTGCGCCATCTTACTGGACCCATAAAATTGTTTTTGACTGTAATTGAATTAATACTTAAAATGCTAAGACTGTTATTGGCCCATTCAGGGTAATATTGTTGGCTCAATTTATACATAAAATCATATTCGTTGACTATAATAACATCTTTGTCTTTGTCTTTTATGTATACATAGATGAATATATAATTGCTAGTTTTAGAAAATGTAAAGACGTGGGCTGGAGAGATGGTTCAGTGGTTAAGAACACTGACTGTTCTTGCAGAAGACCCAGCTTCAAATCCCAGCACCCACATGGCAGCTAACAACTGTCCGTAACTCCAGTTCCAGGGGATCTGACAGCCTCTTCTGTCCTCTGCAGGCATTGCACAACACCGGTGCACTTACCTACATGCAGGCAATACACACATACACATAAAATAAAATAAAATAAAATAATTTTTTTTTAAAAACAAGAAAATGTAAGGACTTAAAATGCAGTGGCCTGATTAAAATGTATATAGCTCACAGAAGTACAGCTAGTTAGTCTTTCAGTTCTGTTGCTTATAGCATTCTGCTTCAACCAAATACAGCTGCCCAAACTATATCTGTGTGTATACTGCAGTGGCTTATTTGTTGTGCGGCACAAACGTGTGTAAATACAAAATTTATGCATGTTAAGTCTTTGGGAAAAGAGCGCGTGCAGTTAAGACTGTCCTTTTGAAAAAAATTCCACTGACCTGTGAAATATTTTTCTCTTTTCTCTTCAGTGATATGGACAAACAGAAATCCACGCTGGTAGATGCGCTTTGCAGGAAAGGATGCGCGCTGGCTGACCACCTTCTTCACACACAGCCTCACGATGGGGCAGCAGCTGGAGATGCAGAGGGAAAGGAAGAAGAGGGAGAAAGTACTTTGGATTCTCTGTCAGAAACATTCTGGGAAACAACAAAATGGACAGATCTTTTTGACACTAAGGTAGCTCACACTTCTACGGCTTAGCACAGTTCTTGGTGGTGAGCTTCTAGGCACTCATGGGCTCCACTGTCTGCCAAACAGGAAAGAGGCAAGACTCCACTGTACGAAGATATTTGTTAGCCTTAACACCTAGTATTTGAAAACAGTTTGAGAATATGTATAATAGCCTTTTAAACCAGTTAGATATGAAGCCAAAATTAATCTCTTCTAGTTGTCTTTGTTCCTCCTCGCATGTTTATGCTGCTCTGGAGGATGGGGTACACTTAGTTTAGATATTATTATTCATTTTTCTCAAAACTCTTAATTTCTAAGTATTTTAAATTTTAGCTAACCAGGTGTTTTTTTTGGGTTTTGGTTTTTAATTTTATAAGTGTTTTGCCTGCATTAATGTAGGTACACCGTGTGCCTGCAATGCCCATGGAGGCCAGAAGAGGGCGTAAGAGCCACTGGAACTGACATTAAGAACAATTGTTAACTGCCACGTGGGTGCTAGGAACCGAACCCTGATGCTTTACAAGAGCAGCCAGTACTCTTAATTGTTGAGTCATCTCTCTAACCCCAAGCTAGTCAGTTTTAAATCCAATGTTTGGAAAAGTAAAGTGTTTTAGATTTGGGTTATAAAATAATTTTTTGTTTTTAGAGTTTTGGGTAGTGTTTTTTTTGTGTGTATGAGTGTTTGCCTACATGTGTGTAAGTGCACCATGTGCATGCCAGAAGAAGGCATCAGATCCCCTAGAACTGGAGTTAAGGATAGGTGTTAGCTGAGATATGGGTGCTGAGAACCGAACTCAGGTCCTCTGGAAAAGCAGTATCTGTTCTTAACTACTGATCCATCTCTCCAACCCCTATGAAAAATATTTTAATCCTTTTTATCTCTGTTCTTACAGTGGAAATTATATAGCTATATAGTTTTATTAATCTTCCTTGCCTGTGGCCATAAAGGAAAAGTAGATGAAATCAGTAGAATTCTCCTCACTAGCATAGGCCATTGTTGTAGTCATTTATTGCTGATTCTCAGGATTAGCTGTTGTAATTTACAATAAAGAACCTGAGTGAATAAGCTTCCTTTATGCTTCCAATTTATCCCCATAGTTATAAGTGTGTTTGTAGGAAGCATTCCATAGTATTCAGGAATATAAAGGAGGTAGAACTACACGTACGGTAAGAATTAGGATCTGAACTTGTACTCCTAGAGATTGATTAACTCCTGCCTCTCTGTTTTAATCAGTGACCCTAAGCAAATTACTGAATGTGTTAATGGCTGTTTCTTATCAGTTGAATAAAGGCAGTCCCTATCCTTGAATGTTCTGAATAAATACTATGTTCATGGAATGCCCCCCAGCAATATTGTTATCATTAGCAGTTGTTGAAAGTTGTCTGTGTATTAAACACCACCTCCCGCTGGAAGCATAAAGATAAATAGAACCTTCCTCTCTGTTTTTGAGGAATATAACAGGGTGATAAACACTTGGTGAGCACTACAATGAGATTGCTAGGCATACTTATGTGTTCACAGTTGATACTACTTTACTGGAGCAATACATGACTACTGGCCTATTTTCCTTGTTTTTGGCAACAGTTTTTGAATCCTTTGCTTGACTTTAAACTACAAATCAGTATGGCAGGATTTCTTTGAGGCGGTTTGCCACAAAGTACAGACAAAATTATAACTAAAGCAGTAAAATTCAGTAGATGCAGTGTACAAAAAAACATGTTTATGTAAATTTTTCTATCATTTACAGTTTTAGTGATTTCTATAAAGCAACTTTTTTTTATATTTACACTTTTCTGTAATTTTTTAAATGTGATTTATTTTGTATGAAGAAATGATTTTAAATGGATTTGAATAGCTAATGACTTCTCAGAATTTTTTTTTCCAGTTCTCTTCTGTGGAGTACCTGGCCCTATTAAAGACTATTTTTCTTTTTAATTTCCATGATATAGGATATTCAACTTAAAAGCTATATTTCTGGAAATGAGGTAGATAGCTTGCTCAGTAAATTATCTGCCAAACAAATATGATGACTTAAGCAGCATCCATGTATAAATCTGGAGACTGTGATGTGCACCAATTAACCCCAGAGCTGGAGAGGCAGAGATAAGCAGATCCCTGGGCCAGCCAATCTAGCTAAGTCAGTGAGCTCCAGATTCAGTGAAAGACTCTATCTTAATAAGATGGAGAGTGATTGAGGAAGACACTGGAGATAGACCTCTGGCTTCTACCCATACCTGTACACACATACAAACATATACACATAAACACACATACAAAGCTCCACTTCTATTAAAGCCTTAATTCTATCAATGTTAAAGCTATATGCCTTAAAATGTAAATATTTCATGGGTAATCTTTGTTTTGTATCATAGGTTTTAACATTTGCCTATAAGCATGCATTAGTAAATAAAATGTATGGGAGAGGCCTTAAGTTTGCAACTAAACTCGTAGAAGAAAAGCCAACAAAAGAAAACTGGAAAAATTGTATTCAAGTAAGTGATGCTTAAATTATACTATATATAACTTCAGTACTGCATAGTGATAAGAAAACAGGGGTGTAAAATACTTATGGTCATTACAAAACAACTTATGGTCATTACAAAATACTGATTTTTTTTTATTGTGGCCAGTTACAGTTACTAAAGTAATATGAATATATAATGAATGCATGAGAGATATGAAATTTGGATTTTCAAAACATTTTTAATCATATTCAGAGAACCTATATTAGCCTCAGATATTTTCAACAAGGGCAAAAATGAATTATTTACTTTCTATAGTTAGATGACAGTTTTCCTTTTTGAAGTAAGCAGTTCTTCTAAATATGTGTTGCCTCAACTCTAAAATGATTAATTTGTGGAGTTTATATTTGGTTTTATCTTCATTTGAGATTGACCATTTTTGTTTATCACATATCACATGAACTTTACATGAGTTACTTTGAAATATGAAGAGAAACTAGTGCTACCTTGTTTGTGTGCATGCACACTTGGTTTATACCTAAAGGATCTGAAGGGTCTAGTCCAGGGCAAGTATCGTTTATATGTAAAGCGTAACTTTGGTTATGTTCCCTGAACATGTATGATGAGTAGAGGAAGCCACAGGTTGTCTTTGCTCTTAGATGTTTTCTATCCACCTTCACCAGTCAGTTCAAATTATAAGAGAGTATAAATCCTGTGAATCTTGGCAGCTTCAGCAAAGCATTCCTGTGCCATTGTTCCTATATTCTCATGCTCCTGTGAAAAAGGTTGTTTGTTAGGAAGGACAGCCATTGGATGGGTGGATTAATGAATGGCAGGTTGATAGAAGGAAGGTTCTATCTATGTGTTGCTATTTAACTGTTACTAAATACTTGATAGAATTACCCTGAAATTTGAGCTTGAAACTGTCATCCCCTTTAATAATACTGTGTTTTATTGCAGCTGATGAAATTACTTGGATGGACCCATTGTGCATCTTTCACTGAAAACTGGCTCCCCATCATGTATCCTCCTGATTATTGTGTATTCTAAAATAAGAACCAAGATTTTAAATTCCAAAAAGAAAATTTTATAATGAACGGATATATGAACAGATTTGTGGCATTTTTAGTCTAATGCATGTTTTCATTCACTATCCAATACTGATCATTAAAATAATGTGTATTTATCAGAGAACTCACTGGTGTGTGGCTTAATACATGTAAACCTAGACCTCTGACATCATGCTGTTTTCATAGTGCCTCCCACACTTGGCAAGGGCAAGGCATGTCCTGCCCACCAGCCCCAGCACTTTTAAGTTGGGTGCAGCATCTCACGTGCATGAGAGGTTTTCATCTGTAACTTCTAACTGAAAAACTGTCAAATTCTATTTTTTATTTTATAAATCAACAAGGTTTTAACATGATCAACTTTTTTTTTTCAATTGTATGCAGGCCTTAAAAAAGCTACATTAAGCGTAGCTAAAATTATTTATTGGACTTAAATTTAGAAAACCTCATTTCCAGACTTTTTTTTTCCTAAACGTGCACATTCAATTAATGGGAAAAAAATAAAACAAAACAAAAACCGGCATAAACTCGTGGCATTTGATGGAGCATAATTGTTTAAATAAATTTTCATCTTGGGGTTATAACAGGCTAGTTGTTTTTACATCCTCTTGAAGTGCACAGCATCAGAATGAATTAATAATACATGTATAAGTGCCAGACAGCTAAATCTTTATCAGGTATTGTAAAGATGCACACACGGTATATTTATAAAAAGTTGAAATCATGAATAAATGTGCAAACCCATGATCATAGTACACCATATGCACTCTGATACCTTAATTTTTTTTATAAATAATAAAAGTGAATATTGAAGCTTCTTAAATTTGGTCTTAATTTTTCATAAATCAAATTTGAAGTTAGAATAGAAATAATTTATTAAATCTTTAAGCAAAAAAAGTTAAACATGTGATAACTTATTTTGTAATGTTTCTTAAAGTTTGCAATTATTTGAATATATTTCCAGTGCTTATTTTGTGTTTAAGTCTTATGTATGTTTAACTTTTTTTTTCTGGATAATATTCCTACTTCTTTTCTCCTGCCTCCATGAAATAAACAGACAGAAATAGACAATATTAAAAAGCCTGTAGTCACTTATCTAATAGGAAAGTATGTGTGTGTGTGTGTGTGTGTGTGTGTGTGTGTGTGTGTGTGTACTAATAGGAAAATGTGTGTGTGTGTGTGTGTGTGTGTGTGTGTGTGTGTGTTTTATCCTGTTCCTTTAGAATTTATTGCTATAAAAAGATCTAAGTTAATCTTATCTAGTCATTCATAACATTTTATTTTATCTGATAAAAATGTTAGAGCCTTTATGAGGAAATAAAAATATGCAATGAAACATTTGCATCCAATTCTTCAAGCTCTAAGGTCTAACATACATCCATGTTCTCTCTCACATTGTTACATGTACTTTCACTTCCTTTAGAATTTATTGCTATAAAAAGATCTAAGTTAATCTTATCTAGTCATTCATAACATTTTATTTTATCTGATAAAAATGTTAGAGCCTTTATGAGGAAATAAAAATATGCAATGAAACATTTGCATCCAATTCTTCAAGCTCTAAGGTCTAACATACATCCATGTTCTCTCTCACATTGTTACATGTACTTTCACCTGCATACATGCAGGCATACACATCCAACTTTAGTTCAGTAACAGAATTGAAAGACTCAGAAAGAGGGTGAAGATTTTCAAAGATCATACTGCAAAGTGACTGATTATTAATTTCAGAACCTGTTTTGAAAGCCAGATCTTGCCCTGCCTTGTAAGTACCTGAGACAGGAGTCAGAAAACCATAGCCCTTGAGCCATAATTAGATTGCCACCTGTTTTTGTAAATAGTTTGATTGGCACTCAGCCTGTGACTAGGGGGCAGCTCTATGTTGCTGCCATGTCAGTTACTGTTTCTATCTGGATCATACTCTGCTTCTTGAGATCAGCTGAACCCAGGTAAGCTCCAAACTAGAAGACCATGTCCTCAAGAAAATCATACTGTGAGAAGATTAAAATACTGTAAGAAATGATGCAAGAATAAGGTGATTGAAAAGTCATTGTGGCTAATGTTTGCACTGTACCCACTGAAGGCAACTGAAAGGCTGGAGAAAGACGACTTCTTAAAGAAATTATTAAAGGTGCAAAGTACACACTCAGAATTAGCTCCTATGACCCCTTTCCAATGCTAAGAAGCAGTTGTGCCATCATGGGATTCCTTACTCCTTTCTAATACTGTTACTTGCTTCCTAGAATTATTCTTTACCTTAGAAGAGACCAGCTCTATCCTTAGACACGACAAATCTCAAACCTCCCCTTATGTGAGATGAGATGACCAGAGGCTGTAGAACTTGAAGCCCTGCCCCACCCTCTGCTGTCTGATATTCCTGAAGGCACTGGTAAGCCCATCCATTGTTTGACCACCATGTGTCCCATGAGAAAGTCGTGGTGTATACAGTGTAAGTGCTTATACTGATTAAAATTTTTTAATTTGAATTAACTGAGGCTTTTGTGCAATGTTTTAGTCTCTGTATTCCCAACTAGCCGGGACTTGGGAATACCTGTGTCTTTATCCTTTGCATGTAGAACTTAAGAAGGTAGGTGAAGGAGAGCCTTTTCACCAGCATCTTAAATGAAGAGAACTTCTTGAGGAATAAAAAAAATTGAGAAATAGGCCAACCTGGGCTACCTGAGACCCTATCTCAAAAAGAAAGAGAGCTATACTAGATCCCAGATAGCAATTTGTTCAAAGGAGGTAAGATAAAAGTGTGATTGGGACTAGTGGCTGGTTAGATGGTTGATAGGTTTGTTGTTTGGGAGTGCTGAGGATAGAATCCAGGGCTTCGCACATAGAGGCAATTGCATTATCGCTGAGCATTTTACATCCTAGCCATTAGCCCAATACAATTTTTACTTTATTTATTTATTTATTTATTTATTTATTTATTTATTTATGTGCAAGTGTGTGTGTAGAGGTCAGAGGAAAACTCTTATAGCCCCAGCTCACCTGGAGCTCGCTATGTAAACCGGGCTGGCCTGGATCTGCTTGCCCCCAGAATGCTGGCATCTACCACCATGCCTGGCCCAGTACTAATTCTTTTTTTAAAAAAATAAATAATAGGCTGGGCGTGGTGGTACACGCCTTTAATCCCAGCACTCGGGAGGGAGAGGCAGGTGGATCTCTGTGAGTTCCAGGCCAGCCTGGTCTCCATAGCGAATCCAGGCCAGCTAGGGCTACAGGGAGACCCTGTCTCAAAAAGACCAAAAATAAACAAACAAACAAATAAATAAATAAATGTAAATAATAAAACTTTTTTAAGAAAGAAAAGAAATAAGCTACACTGGAGTCTGGGCATAATAAACCAAGAAAAGAAAAAAATCTTTACCAGTAGTAATAATAAATTGGAAAAGAAAAAGGAACATGTGAGGGCTGCTGTGTCCGGAAGGGTTTGGGGTCATCCCTCTCCCTGACAGAATTCCCACCTTCCCTCCTAACCCTCTGGAGCCATAGGGCACTGTGTGATGAGAGATTTGCCCTTGGAAAGTAGTAGCTTTTTTCCCTGTTCTACAGAGGTACTGGTTTAATTTTGTTTAGAACCCCTGCTTTTAATGAGAGGATCTTGAACAGTTAGCAAATATGTTTTTCTTCAATCAGTGTCCGTATAAAGGTTAAACATATAATGACAGTTTCTCTGCAGTGAAGGTGGTATACATTTCTCCATCCAAATCAAATTCACTTAGGAATCTGACTGCCAGCTCTTAACAAAAATGCACACAGCATATAGAGGAGCTGGAAACACCTGTAATTCCCTGTTGTTTCATGTGTTAGTTTACAAGTTAATATATGAACAGACCACAGTAATTCTGTGAGCAAGCTCAGCTTCCAGCAGCAATTTCTTTTCATGAGTGTAATGTGGCTGATCTACTTGGTCTAGATGATTCAAAGTTTGAGTCATCAAAACATACAACTTACAAGAACTGTATATGGGATAAACACTTCAGTAGGTAGAAATACCCCCCTGCCCCCCCCCAGTGATGAAACAGACTTTTTGCAGTCCTTATTGAAATACTAAAAATGTCATGACATGAAAATGAAATTTGTACACTGTGTGTACTAGTATATTGCTGACAATATAAAATTGTATTTTAGCTGTGGTAATATGGCCATGTCTCATACTTAGAAACTGAACTTAAAATTTTTCCCATGGTTTACTTCAGATTTGATGCAGGAGAAAGTGGGTAGAGGTTTAAAGAAAAGAAGATTACAGTGGGAATGAATTCATGGGGGATCAGGAGACTACATCTGTGGTGTCAATAATTGAGCTGTAGTGGCCACACATTAAACCACATACTGAACACGTAAGGTGTACAGTTTACTTACTACATATTTAAATCTTAAAACAGTCTTAAAACACTAAAAAGGTAGCCATAGTCACCCAGCTTTCTAAAAAGACTTCTGTCAGTTTTCACAATAACATGGGACTCCTAACCCCTACCCTAGAAATACATATGTTAAAAGATATCTCTTGGGGCTGGAGAGATAGCTTAGTGATTAAGAGCACTGACTGCTCTTGCAGAGGACCCAGGTTCAATTCCCAGCACCCACATGGCAGCTACAAACCATCCTTAGCTCCTGTTCTAGGGGAACCTGAAGCCCTCTTTTGACCTCCGCAGTATTGCATAACGTGGGTGCACTCACGAACATGCAGGCAATACACTCATAACATAAAAAAAATAAAATATTTTTTAAAAGATGTCTCTATACCATATACTTCAAAGATTTGAGGGGAAATTGGCCTCCATTTAGGAGAGGCTAGATTTTTTAATTACTACATTTGTGTGTGTGTGTGTGTGTGTGTGTGTGTGTGTGTGTGTGTGTG